GTGGCCCCATGTGTTACACGGGGGTGAGTTAAGCTGTTTAATAGGCTCTCCGGAGATTGGTGTTTTGGGAGATCGTGTAGAGGCTTTGAAAATAAGACGTTGTTTCCTCCAATATATCTGCTAATTTAACGGGGCATCTATAGATGGATCGCCCTGTGCGAGCAAAGCAAGCGCTGTCGAAGAGTCGGGGTGTGGGCACGGGGACTCCTTTCAGCCGGGTCTGCCTGCGTCGACCACCTGGAAAATCTCTCGAGCACACCACATCCAGGTGTACCTCTCGCCGTGACTCTTGTTGCTGCTGCTGCTGCTCGCGTGCCGCCTCCAATCTCCCGGTGACCCCCCAAAAAGATGCAGCGGGCAGTAGTTGCGAGTCCTTTCTGTCAGGTGGAGGCGCCCTTGAGATTGGGCTTTGTCTCGTCGTACATGGTGATACAGTCGTGAACATTCAGGTGTGGTGTCCGGCGGAGCAAACGCATGAAAACCCATTGTGTCAGAGAAGTTTTTTGGCCAGACCCCGGTCTGCACGCTCCATGTCACCACCACCGCGATTGCCGTCGCCGCAAATCGTCCGACGACGGTTTACCGCGGTGGCTTTTGCACCACGCTCGCTCGCCAACTTAGCCATGCAAGAGGCGAGAAATGACGTTCCAATGAAATATGATGAGAATAATTTACAACCGCGCATCAAGTCCGGTGCCGCTTTCTCAACATTTTGGCGCCGAAAAAAATGTTTTGGTTCCGCGAGCTCGGCCTTCGCGGTGAAGTTGCGGTTTCCACACGGCAGCGGGCTGGCAAACGGGGCGGGTTTTCATGGCAATATGCGGAACGTTTTAATGAACGTCGCTAAAATGGAGCGCATTGAAGGGGGGGGGGGGGGGGCCGCGAGTTTGCAGGCATTGAGCTTCTGTTTACCCCGCGTGGTGGAAGATGTTCTCTCATCAGGCGTGGCCATTAGCATGTGAAAGGAGAGCTCTGCACAGAGAAGGGAATGAATATGCCTGCGCTGCCAGCGAGCGCTGACCAAACATTGCCGTTGCTCGCGAGTGGCGGCAAAATGTTTGTCGGAGCGCTGTCGGTTTCCTCTGCGCCGTCGAGAGTTTGAAACGTCGCGTTTTATTAATTTGCGTGTGTTTTGACGCAAATGTGACCGCGCGCGCCCCCCCCCCCCAAACCCCACTTCATCCCCTCCCATTAACGCAACACTGGGGGGGGGGGCACGATCAGCTAAGCCATGCTGCGTCTCAAAAAGAGATCCAGCCGCTAATCTCCTGACCCCCGCTCCCCCCACCCCCCCCGCCCCGACCTCCCTAGGGAATGGTCTGCCCCGCCGTGCAATTCAATGAGGCTATTCTCTGACAGGTATCGGTCACGCCGATCGTACTGCTTCATGGGGGGGGGGGGGGCAGGATGGATGGTGGGCGGTGGGGGGGGGCATTCCAGGCAGCTCAACAAGAGGAGGCGAACTGCCGTGCGCCGCCCCGCGTGTGAAAAAGGTGCGAGGATCCAGACCGACATCCGCGCTCTTCGCTATCGGCCAGTTTTATGGAATATTAACGGGGCGCTGTCACCGTGCCCCCCCCCTCCCGGCCCGGTCCCCCCCCCCCCCCCCCGGCGTCCTTCATTGACCTGGGATCTGCCTTGATTAGGGCCCCTCCAGTGGGGTTTTTTTTTGTTTTTTCCAGCCAACCCCCACCCTCCACCGCGGCCGCGGTTGCCATGGCAGCTAATCTACGCGCTATTGAACTATTGAGATGGAGAGGCACTTTGGGCCCACAGCAAAGGCACGTTTAGGCATCGGGAGTAATTAAAAAAAATAAAGCGAGTTGTGTGTTTATTTGGATTTGCGCGAGCGTCGCCCAGTGGCTGCCGTCGGACAGATGGGGGCCTGCATGTGCGCGTCGGGGCTGTTGCGGTGGCTCCCCGGGCACAGGGGTTAGCGCTCGCGCTCAACAAACGGCACAGTTTGTCGTGGGCGCGCGATTCTTCCAGTCCAGTTCTGCTCTGGAATCGTGAATTAATTGGGTCACAGTATAAGCTATTGAAACGATTTTTATTTTATCAGGCAAAGGCCCCATCGGGCGCTATGTAGCTATTTTTTTTTTGAGGAGCGACCTGGCCACAAATTCGATCTCAATTGAAGTGGCTAATCACGTGGAAATTTAGAGCAGCTAAATACTCAACGCATGTTTCTAACTGTGGAGGGAAAAACCGGAGGACCTCGAGAAATATCCACGTGACCACGGGTAGAACAAGCAAACTCCAAATATACAACAGGCGTCAGAGTTGGGATCTAACCCACGACTTCCTGTATACTATGCGAGGAAGTTAACATCCCGCCACCGTGGCGCCCACAATATACCCTCATCATATTTTTTCATCAGTCATGTCCAAGCCACTGCTGGATGCAATGCCTCCCCAAGTAATTTGTTAACTTCTCGCACGGTGCTACGGTACAAAAAATCCACCCCTTACCACCTGCTCACGAGCTGATTTCATCACTCTATCTCTCCCGCCGTACATCCTCTGGAAAGCGCGTTGACCCCGCTCGGGCATTAACCTTGACCGTCGGCCGTCGTGGTCCCTCGAGGCGACGTGCCCTGCCCCCCAGCCCCCTTCTCTTGGCCGTTATGAATTCTCTTCAACCTCCGTAATGTGCTTTCTGATCTACGGCTTTATTCGGTGATCCAACGGCTGGCCTCCGATAACGACTGTACGACGGCGTTGCGCGGCCAACGTTTGTTTAAAGCGTTTCTGTCCGGTTGTATTCCAGTTGAGTTGCTATCAGTGCTACGCTATTCAGTGGGCCGAGGCGTCCGTTAGGAGCCTTACGCCCACGAGTGGTGACATCTTCCCCCAGAGAGAGAGAACTTTGCCCTCCACTAAGGAGAGGTTGAGGCGCTCTCTAACATTCTCACTTTTCTTCCTCTTCACAGTCATGGTTTATCGTCTATTTCCCCACATTCATTCCAGTTGTGTTGTTATACGCGTCGTGTTACGAGATCGGAGTTGTCCGTTGGCAACTATCGCAGGCTGAGGTGTATCACCCAAAGTTACAAAACAACCCCCTGAAGGAGATATCAGAGAACTACTTCTGAGATCCATCCTCAAGTAACCTCGTTTCGCCACACACTAGGAGGTGCTATACTTTTCCCCATGTGACCTATGAGTGAATGCTCATTGCATGACAGTGACACGTCGGCGCGCCGTCGGTTTCCTCTGTGCCCCGGCAGTTGGTCGGCCCTCGCAGTCAGTCGGGGTGGTTGGTTGGCCCTGGCGATTGGTTGGGGCGGTTTGTCAGTCCTGGCGGTCGGGCAATGTGGTTGGTTGGCGCTGGTGGTTGGTTGGGGCGGTTTGTCAGCCCTGGCGGTCGGGCAATGTGGTTGGTTGGCGCTGGTGGTTGATTGGGGCGGTTTGTCGGCCCTGGCGGTCGGTCGGGGTGGTTGGTTGGCTCTGGCGGTCGGTCGGGCGGTGGGATGACTGTGAAAGGTGATGCTTAATAAAGGGGACCCGGTGATGGATATTGTATTGGGTTGCGGGGCCACACGTCATTGGTTGTTTTGTGACGGCGCTGTTTAATTAAGGGCTCCATGATTGGAGCCATTGTCCTCTCGGGAATTTGATTGACCGCTCCGAGCTCCCGCTGAAGTCCATTTCCCTCGATTTAAATCCCTAAACGTCATCGGCCTTCCAGGTGCCCTCCAATTAAGATTTCAACATCGTGGTTCTGCATGCCCCCCAGAATTTGAAAAGCTCTTGACATTATTAAACCAGAAATGCCTCGCTGAGTCTCAGATTGTTTCACCAGGGTCCTGCAGTGGGACGTTTGGCGACCTTATGTCTGTAGGGGTGTGTGGTGTAACAGAACTCCCGCAACAAACGGCTCTCCGATGCCTTTTCCGGTTCGTGACGCGTGGTTAGGCACGACGTCCGACGTTTCGCTCCACGTAGCTGTGGAGAGAGGGCCGAGGGAGGGGGGTGCTCCTTCGGCAACCAGATGCCGAGCGCGCTGCAGAGCCACCCGGCACAACCGCGGAGAAAATCCGCACGGCAGCCGGGCAACCGAACGTGCGACGCTTTCGTTCGTTCATTGTGGAATGCGGCCAGAGAGCGGTTCCCCTCAGTAAAGAGGATGGCTGTGCGGGGAATGGTGCAAAAAAATTATAATGAAGAGCAAGAGAGAGAGAGAGGTGGAGGAGGAAAATGTGGGAAGAAGGCAAGGGTGACTTTGTGCGTGCAGGTTTGTGAAGCCGGGTATAATTGTTTGCAGCCGCGGACTGCTGCTGCCTGGACGTGGAGTGGATTTGCCAGGCGCCCGGGCCTCTCAGCAGCACGGCTTTGGGAGGCAAGGGATTGGGAAGGGGGGTACGGCGGGGGGGGAAGATGGTGGTGAGCAGGAGGGATTGGGTTGGGGATAAATATGAATGAGTGCTTTGTTGTCAGCAGCACCGGCAGCGTATCGGTTCTATCTGTCAGGCTGCCTGCGAGTTTTAGTCCTGGCGTTGACACAAGTCTAGAACAAGTTGGGAACAGTGCCGACTTTTTTAGCGATTAATTTCTGCCCCCCCCCCCCCCCCCCCCCGCCATATTGTGTTATTATCGTGGTTGGGTGAGTGGGAGCAGTGAGTAGGTGCGTGGGTTGTTGTAACCTGCAATGTGGTGAACAGCGGGTAGGTTGATGGGTGGGTGGAATGTTGTAACCTGCAGTGTTGGATGAGCAGTGAGTAGGTTGGTGAGTGGGTGGTGGGTGGATTGTTGTGACCTGCAGTGTGGTGAGCAGCGAGTCGCTTGGTGGGTGGGTTGTTTTGACCTATATTGTGTTGAGTAGTGGGTGAGTGAGCTTCGTGAGTGGACGGCATAGACGGCCTGAACACGGATCGCAAATAGACACGGGGCTTCCAGCTTTTGTTGACGTGTCGCTCTTGTCTCTGTGTCTCTCTTCTCTCCGTGTCTCTCTTCTCTCCGTGTCTCTCTTGTCTTCGGGTCTCTCTTGTCTTCGGCAGAAGGTGTACAGCTCGTTCGCTTACACGGAACGGATGTCCAACGGAGAGACCGAGGTGCAGCAGGTAACACCGGCTCCACCGCCACCACGGCCGTGCCGTCTGCGTTGCGATCGCACACCGCCCCCGTCGGCCCCTTGCGCGCGCAATAATTACGCCCGTCCGCCACAGCTGATTAATGTAACTGAGAGCTCAGCTTTCCCTACAGCCCCCCCCCCCCACACATATACCTCCCCCCCGCACCCACGACTTTCTCCAGAAAGCACATTCTGATTCAAAGTACGCACTTCCTCCCGTCCCGAGTGCCGTTTGCCGTGCGCCCCGTTCCGGTTGACGAGGCCGGTGTCTGCCCAGCGCCGTTTCTGGTGACGCGTCCCTGTTCCAGTTTTCGTTCGTCACGATGCGACTGTTGTTCGCGACACCGCTTTGCCACGCCGCTGGGGCTGCATTTCTAATTCGCGTTGCTTATTGCCTTTGTGGCTTCGAGTGGAGTAAAGTCCCTCGTTCAACGCGGTAGATGAGTCTCTCAAAAAATTCCCGCGTTAAGCGAAGAATTACTGGACCTGCACGGACGGATGGAAAAGCTAGCTGTTTTGTCGCATCATCCGTTATAAAAAAATATGTATATATCCTTAGCAGCGTCGTATCGGGCGACCCTAACGAGCGCCCCCGGGCTGCATCGCGCGGGCGAGAGAGCTCGTCCTCCTCACCGCTGGGTAGGGGGGGGTGGGGGAGGTGTCCCGGGTAAGAGCCACCATCGGCAGCGCAAGAATGCCAACTTGTGGCGGCCATCTGTTGGGCACCGATGGCCTGTGGCGGTGGATCCCCGGCCCGCCTGCCCTATCCCTGCCGCGCCCGCCCACCCGCCCGCGAGTGCGGACGCACGGACGGCGCCCTCCATCCCCTTTTGCCCTGCGCTGTCGGCTCGACGAGGGCGTTTGCGCGGCTCACCGCAAACTTCACCCAGGGAAGCTTTACGGCGGCCGAGATCGGCCCTTGCCGTGATGGGTTTATTTTTGTTTATTTGAACTCGTGACACCCCCTGCGACGTTCCCCCTCTCATTCTCAATGCAAGCACAAACGGGACCCCCACCCCCTCTGCTGCCTCCCACGACGCTCACGATTCGTTTGCGTTGCGCGTTGTTCAGTTTTGCTTTGCACTCGGAGACTCGGATCTTACGGAGGAGGGACCTTGGCGATAAACATTCGGCGATTCATCACCAGCATTGGTTCAAGTGGGCGAGACTCTGTATGAGAGACGCTGAATGTCCAGAGAGGGTCCAGAGTTTGCCTGTAATAAAACCATTGCTTCTGAAATGATGTGCTCTCCCCAAAGGCACGGTGTGGCTGGTGGGAGGTGTGAAAAAGACTTTTTGAAATGTTTATGCGGAGGGACAGATGTGTGAAGGAGGCACCACAGATCTTCCGTGTAAAATATCCGGCCTGCTGCCTAAACGGGACCGTCCGTGTAACAAATAAAAAAAGAAACTCAAACTCCTGCTACTTACTTTTTCCACAGCAGCCCGTCTCTTCTCCACGCCCGGGCCGCCCCTGTGACTACTAAAATCTGCCTCTGTCCCGGCTCGCCTCCGTAGCTCGCCAAGCGTCTGCGTGAGAAGTTCTCCCGCTACATGGACGTGGTGAGCCGCAACAAGCAGGTGGTGGAGGCAGCCTACACTGCTCACCTGAGCTCACCGCTCACCACGTCGCAAGACTGCTGCAACCTCCCGGCATCCATGCTCACGTGAGGGCACGCACGCTCACAAGCACGCTCGCTCGCTTGCTCACTGCACCATGTTCATCTTCATGGGCCATTATCAATCTACTGCTGGATGCAGGCCTCCCCAAGCCACCGCTGCCACCTCTCGCAATCCCACGATGCAGCAGGCCATCCAGCGCGTGGACCACAACGCATCCGTAGAGAGAACCGATTCTCGAATCGCGTCCTGGCCTCCCAAATCGAACAACCTTTGAGGGGAGGAAAATCGTCCCCGGGGTTTAATCACTACCGAGGCCCGCACAGCCGGTAACTTTCACCAAAAATTCCTTCGTGTGCTCCAGCTACCCCGACCGCCCTCCTCAACCAGCGCCAGCCCCGCCTTCCGAGGATCTTTTCCATCTTCGCCCGAGGGGTCGTCTCGCTGTGCGAGAGCAGCAAGAGCCGCCTCTGTGTCTGCGACATCTCGGTATTGAGCTAGAGATCATTCCATTATAATTGGTGATCACTTCCTCGGGGTGCCTGCGTCTAACAGTGCCATAGCCGAGGGACGAAAGCAGCCGCACATCCAGAGTCGTGGCGTGTTCAGCGACGGCGCTGTCACCACCACTCACCCTCCGCTCACACTCCGCTCACCTTCCGCTCACACTCCGCTCACCCTCCGCTCACCCTCCGCTCACCTTCTGCTCACACTCCGCTCACCCTCCGCTCACCCTCCGCTCACCCTCCGCTCACCCTCCGCTCACCCGCCGCTCACCCGCCGCTCACCCTCCGCTCGCACCCGGCAAGCTTCGGGAAGAGCAAACTGCGCGGGAGTTAGAAGCTCGTAGGTTTTGATGGTTACGCGGTTGTATGGCTCTCTGGCGTGGTTTTTTTCGGGGAGGACCTAATGTTGTGCGGATGTCGGCGCGGCGTCCGACGTTCCGCCTCCGCGTGCCGGCCCGCTGGGTGCCAGAAACGGGGTAAGCAGCTCTCCGGTGTTCGGAGCGACCCGATGAGACCGCCATGGCAGCGGTCGGCGCCGGCTCGGACAGTTGCGGTGGTGGCGGCGGTGGAGGTGCAACGGCAAATTTGTCTCTCCCCAATCACCCCCCTGCACTCGCCAGTTCTCCTCGGGGGCCACGGCTCGCTCGCTGCCACGGAGCAGAGCCCCATCGTGTCCGCCCCCCTCCCCCACCTCCCAGTACGACTGGGTCGAGATCGGCGCGTGGCACCGCCCGAAGTAGCACCGCAGAGCTGGACGGCGTCGCAACCGCGAAGGCTTGCGGGCGGCACGTGGTGGCACGCGGTGGGAGGATAAAGCCGCCACCACCGCCACCCCCCCCCCCCCTCCATCGCTGATGTTTGGTGGTGACATCACCTCCTGTGGGCTCGGGAATTTGGCCGCAGAGCAAACAACCGGAGTACCGGGTGGTGGAGAGGGAAGTGTGGGTGGGCAGGGTGCGGGCGGCGGTGGGGGGGGGGGGGCTCACTCGACAGGCTCTTCGGGTTTTGTTCCGCCTACTCGAGCGTTCATCATTTATCTTCCAAACAAACACTCCTCCTCCGCACTAGCGAGCGAGCAGTGGATGTGGAAGAAGTAGCAAAACAAGTGAAGGGTAGCGCCGAGAGGAGTCTCGGGAGTCGTCGCTGGTTTTCACGATGAAGGCCCAAAATGGGGAGACGCATGCGGCGTTGCAGCCTTGTCAATCCACTGCTGGATGAGGGCATCTTCCCACGCCTGTACATCGCAGTGCCGCGGAATAGGGCGCTCGCCTTGGGCTTGCCACGAAGGACCGACGCGTCGCTTGCCAGGGGGTGCAAGCGACGCGTCGGCCCGCCGGTCATTCCGACTCCCAAGCCGAACGGCGCACGTGTGGACTCGCTCGACGCGTTCGCGTTTCGCAGTCTCTCCGCTGTGTAAATTGGCTCCCTTAAACCGTGCCGCCGCTGGAGGCCGCTGCGCTCGCCACGGGGAGAAACGGCAACCGATTCGTGAGTGGAATCAAATTGCAGCGCTGCAAGTGTTTGCCCGCGCCGCTTGCGGCCGGGAAGGGTCTCCGCGAGTGAATTCTTTGAGAGAGAGAGAGTGAGTGAGTGACGGGGTGCTCGGTTTACTCTTCCGCGCTCGCCCAGACGTCTCGCAAAGTGTGGCTTCCCCCGTCTTTATTTTGGGGAGGCCCCTTCCTCCAAGCCAGCAGTTGCGAGGCTGCAGCTTTACCTTTATCCGAGGGGAGAGGTGACATTACCACGGTGGGCGGGGGGGGGAGGTGTGGGGAGGATTTAACAAGCTTGCCTCAACGTTTCAACGGCCGCACCGGGTTCACGAGCCCAGCGTGCTGACCCACTACCCCAGCGTCCCCACGGAGCGTGCAGAAGCATCGCTCCTCCCGGGTGTGTCTCGCCGGCAAAACTACGGGCAAATTAAATTTCGTGAGGATTCTCTTACGCTCCTTGACAGTTTGGATTTTCGGGCTTTAGGAAGCACAGGATCGGGGGGGGGGGGCGGGGGGGGGCCGAGATGGGTGGGGGGGGGAACGATGAGCGAATTTTTTTTTTTTTGTTATGCTTGCACGACGTTTATTAAGTTTGAGGTTTTGCCAGACGAGGTTACGGTTTTGCCAGACGAGGTTACTTTTTTTTTTTCCGTGGAGTTCAGCAATGTGTATTCTTGCTTAATGGTGAAAAAGCACAGACTGTTATTTTTTGGTATTTATTTAATGATGCTCCCTGCGTTTACCGCGGGAGCTTTCGCGGCCGCGCCGCTGTACGGCTCTCCCGGCGCGTTTTTTTTGTTTTCGGTTTCGTGCCGCGTGCCGCACTATGTCCGACGTTTCGATCCACGCGCCGCGAGCTTCGTCAGAGCGCTGAACTTGAGCGGCTCTCGTTATCCCTCGGGATTTACACTGCGGCTGCCGCTGCCGGCTCCGGACGCCGATTGCACTCGAGGGAGAAAGGTGAGGCCCTCTCTAGGTCCAGTTCCTGGAGCGAAACGTCGGACATCATGACGATGTCTGAACAGCACGCTGCAGCTCGCTGCCGCTGACAAGCGATGGGGGGTGGGCGGGTGGGGGGGGGGGTGTGGGTAAATGTCCATCCCTGATTTGAACTCCTCCTGGCCCCACTGTGCCTCCACCTCTCACCTCACCACCCCCTTTTCCCCCACCGATTCCACTTGGCCACTCGCGCTGCCACCGGCTGTGCGGGCTCGCGTCCTTCCGTCTGGAAACGACGGTGAGGCTCTGGAAATGACGGCGAGACAAACCAGGTCCCGGAGAGATCCCGCGGACACGGCGAGAGATTAGGGATTCCGTTACGGTGCCCAGCAGAGTCCCGTTTGTTCGCCTGGGAGAGCCTCTCCCTCCCCGAGTCTCCGTTCCACTCGTGGGAGAGTTTGGCTCCACGTGCGAGGAAACCGGAGAACCCAGAGAAAAACCCCCCACACATGCGTGGGGATAACATCTCCCCGAGGATCGTGCGTTCGTCCCACCTTCGTTAAAGTTTAGTTTTTTTTCACGGCTCACTTTTTGTCTCGCCGTTATGAGGAAACCACAGCTTTCACTGGCACAGTGCCAAGATCCCCAGGTCACCTGGGGTCACGTAAGCGGGCGTGCGGGGGGGGGGGGCAAAGGGACCGCTGCAGAACCGGTCGCCATGGCAAACCCGCAGTCGGTGGTGGAAGCGACGGTGCGGCGGTTTTGAGTGTCCAGGAGCGCTGTTGTCGTGTTTCGTGAGGACGAGACGCGCGAGTTTTCCCATTCGGCGTCCCGCTCCACCCCGACTCCTCCACGGAAAGCCGCGAGAGATCGCGTCCGACCCCATCCCCTTGTCGAGCGCTGATCCTTGGAGGAGCGAAAAGCAAACTTTTGAGTGGGGTCGTGGCGGGGGGGGGGGGGCCCACTTTTGAACCGACCGCACTTGCGTCAAAGTGCGCTTCTACCAGTTGAGCAACAACAAAAAATAGTCCCTTTCAGAAACCCCTGGCAAACACGTGTGACCCCTGGTTCATATCCTGCTGCCTGTGGGGGTCCGAGCATGCCGGCAGAGTCTGTGTACAGCAGGAGGCGGGGGGGGGGGGTGGTTGGTGTGGGGGAGGTGGGGAGGTTTCTTGGCTCGCTGCCTGCTCGCATTTTCCGTCAGGTGCTCAAGTTACGCGGCCATCTTCCTTGTCCAGCACGCTGCTCCACTTTGAGCGGCTTACGAAAGCTCTCCGCGCTTTCGTAAGCCGGGGCCCCCTCTCTCGCTCTCTCTCGCTGCCGGGGCCCCGTCTCTGCGGCCGCTGCTTGGCGGAGTAGCGTTTGCTGGCGGACGTCCTTGATGTTATCCTGAGCTCTATGATGAAAATAAATGCTCAAGGTAAAGATGCAGCCCCATGCAATTCCCTGCACGCGCCACGCTTGGCCGGCCTGACGCAGACGGGCTGGGGAAAACGCAGACGCTCTTGTGGACGGTTGGCGGCGCGGTGGGCGGCAGAGCAATGCGGGGAAAAATTGTTGTGCTGCACTCCTACACTCCCCCCCCCCACCTTCACTCAACTGCAATAACTGGAGTGGTGAGGTGCAGTCATGAAACTCGCAGCATGGGGTGCGAACCATCTCGCACGTGTGTGTGTGTGTGGACACGTGTGTGTGTGTGTGTGTGGACACGTGTGTGTGTGTGGACACGTGTGTGTGTGTGTGTGTGGACACATGTGTGTGTGGACACGTGTGCATGTGTCCCAGTGGGGAGCGGTAATGTAGCGGTTAGCGCGTTGCGCTACGAACCTGGCGACCCAAGTTCGATTCCCACTCACGGCCAACACCATTGACGATTATCTGAACCGATCCTGGGCCTCCCCTAGGTCGACTTGGCCTCAAATGAGTACCTGGGTGCGGTGCGTAAACATTGCCACTGGGGAAGACAAAGGCGTGGTGCTGACCACCCACCACCTTGTGTACCGTTCCGGCCTTCATAGGTGCTCGCTAACCGCACTTTGACCCCCAAGCAGCCTGCGATTGGCTATGCGGGGGATCTTTACCTGTTGTGCGTGTCCCACGTGTGCGTCCAGGTACGACGGTAACTTCAACAGCAACGTGTCCAAGACGATGAGCTGCGACCGCCTCTCCAGCACCGTGAACAGCCGCGTGTTCAACCCCGGCCGGGACTTCAACCCAGGTACCACGAGCGGGGTCACATGCGTGCTCCGCCTCCGCAGGGCTTTTTGCCGATCCACCTTTTGCGGCACCCTGTGTTTGGTGGTGCCGTTTTCCTCTGTCGAGGCCACCGCGCACGTCTCTAAAACAACAGGCCGCTTGCTTGAAGTGACCACATGACCCCGGCGGTCAGAGTGCTGAGCCAGCATCGCTGGGCCATGTGGTAAACCGCTACAGACTACGCTCCTTCAACGGAGGAGGGGGAGAGGAGGAACAACACGAACTCTCTCCTGAAGCCACCTCGTCGTGGCCAGTAGACCTCAACATTGGCATTGAGCTCCTGGACCGATTATTGCTGACATACGCAAGAACGGAACAGCTGAGATCTCGGGGTTTGAATCCTTCGGATTGTGGTCCAGTCATTGTCATTGAGGTCGGATAGGTCAATGGTCTGAGAGCTGAGCCGGTACCACCGAGGCCCTGGGTTCAAATCCAGGTTACAGCTGCCTGTCATTAAACCGGGTTCTCAAGCGGAGTGAGTTGATGGTCTCAGCTTGCTCACAAATAAAAAAAACTCGCATTAAATTGGTTCTGCCCTTAATGCGGCCAAAACCCCAGCACTGAGCGTGAAATGTATTGGTTTCACCATCATGCAACGGACGTTACTGTCTGCTACTAGGTGTGAAAAGTGCTGCCCCCCAACTGTGTGGACTGGAGGTCACTTGAAGGGAGCTCCGTGGTATCCGCTTCCGTGGGCAACTCGCCAAACACGGAGGGTCGAGCTGCTGTGCGACATTTACGAACGGACTCTTCCACCTCGTGACGTGACGCTGATGGCAAGGCCGCTCGCTCGCTCACTGCACGCACTGTCACTTGCGGTCGGGTCCAGCCGGCCGCAATGGATTCTCAGTTGAGCAGCGCGGCGACCGCACCAGGGCCATGGTGCAGTCGATCGCCCGCGTCACACTGTGTTCGCATTTGCCAATTTCGTTTAAACGATCCGCAAGATTGTTTGAACAAATCGCCACCCCCTACTATGCCCGTCTGTGAAACACATGCAACACGTCGCTGCTAATCCGAGCGAAGTGCCGAGTTAACGAAGAGCGGTCGGGCGGGCGGGCCGGGCGGGCGGGCGGGCGAGCCGCGCTGTCGAGCGGCTCGTGGGGTACGCGGGCACGGCTGCCGTGGCGGGGCGTCAATAATTAACGAGTGCCGGCACGCGCGGGGAGAGAGAAGGGCGCGTGCCGCGGCTCGCGGAGCGTGACTGTCTCGCGCCGGTCTCTCGCCGAGAGCACTGCCGCCCCCGCCCCCCTGGCAAAATTACCGGAGGTTGCTGTCAACGACGGCAGTGACGGGGGGCGGCGACGGCAGCCCACTGGCGCTGGGGTTTTTTTTTGGTACGTAATTAACGGAGCCGATCTCCAAACCGACGGCGACGCCGCCGCAGAAATTGCTCTTAATTGAGCGAGCCTGTTGCACCTGAAGCGGAGTTAATTGCGTGGGGGCCCGTCACGGCGTTCATCCCGGGGTTTTACTCGTAGACCGCGGCGCGTCAGATTTTAATCGTGACCAATGGCTCCGATTAAATTCACCGCCGCGGAAATGTTTCTTAATTTGCCCAACGCTTTGAGGTTTTGGGAAGGGGGGCGTGGTGGGGTGGGGGGGAGGTGCCGCTGTGTTCCCGCAGCCATGGCGGGTCTTCTCTTTATCATTATTATTAAGTCGCCTGCTTTAATTTTTAATGGCCGGCTTGGCGCATTGGGATTATTCTTCCTTACGATCATCGTCCTAGTTGTTTTTTTCTTTCTTTAGTTTTTTCCTTTCTTTAGTTTTTTACCCAGGCAATAAAACCTCGGATTCTCGCACGTTCTCTGGGAACGTTTGGGGGGGGGGGGGGGCTGTGATTTACAACCCAAGGAGGAGTATAGAGAGAGCCACTTGGCTTTTCACAACGACGCCCTCTGCGTGTCAATCGACCGCGTGTCCCCAACACAGCAGAGGCTTGCCTCCGTTGTGCCACCTTGCCAGCTTGTTCATTCTTAACTTCACCTCAACAAATAGGTGATGGTTGCGATGGTGGACATGCTGGATGTGACGGGCCTGGCATTTGTGACGAAGGTGACGAAGGTGATGGAGGTGGCGGTTGTGACACGGCTGGCGGTTGTGGCGGAGGTGGTGGTAGTGGTGAACCTGGCGGGGGTGGACGTATTGCCCGCAGTGCTGGTGGACAACCTCAAGGTGAACCCGAGTGTCAAGTGGCAGTACTACAGCTCGGAGGAGGGCGTCTTCACCGTGTTCCCCGCTCACCGCTTCTCCTGCAAGGGAAACTACGAGCACCGCAGCCGGTATGGGAACCCCGCGGCACGGCCTGGCCTCGTCACCGCCGCCGACCATCGGCCGTGGTCAATCCGCTGCTAGATGAAGTCCTTTCGCGAACCGTCGCCGCCTCGTGATGCCTCGCGCCGCTGCCGTCGTCCAATTTCCCCAAGCTCGTTTAAATAACCTCGCTCGTTTACACAAACCGATTCGATTTTTTTTGTATTGTCAATTACAACTTGGTGCTGTTTGTGGGTGGCCGCTTGACGCTTTGGTGAGGCGAGCCGATCGCGTTGCGCTCCGTTCCTCCGCTGCCGCTCTTGTCTCTATCCCCAACCATCGGCCAGCGTCCCTTCTGGCCCCGACAACTCCTGCCCAAGGCCCCGCTCGCTTTTCTCAACGGTTTGAACGGCACGTCGGTCGCCTGCGTGTGTGGCCTCCAATCCGCGCGTTCCTCCCTTTCTGTCGCTCGTCGCGATTGCGACGGTTGTGACGAAGGTTTGTCGGTTGTTGATTTTGTGACGGCCGTGATGGTCGCGGCGGTTGTGGCCGTTGCGGCGCTGCAGGCCGGTGTACGTGGCGACGGTGCGGCCCCAGTCGAAGCACGTGGTCATCCTCCTGGACGTCGGCGCCTGGACCACGGAGGCTCAGCTGAGGATCGCTCGCGACGCCGCCACCACCGTCATCTCCGCCCTTAACCACCACGACAAGGCAACGCCACTCTCGATCGCTCACTCGCCAGCTCACTCACTCGCCAGCTCACTCACTCGCCAGCTCACTCACTCGCCAGCTCACTCACTCGCCAGCTCACTCACTCGCCAGCTCACTCACCCAGTCATTCACTTGCTCGATCCTCACATGCTTGCTTGCTCGGTCATGAGCTCACTTATTCACGAGCTTGGTCACGCACTCACAAGCTCCGTTACTCACCCTCCCATTCATTCCCTCACTCACTTGTTACGTCGCTTACTCGCTCGCGTGCCTAGTTACTCAAGAGCTTAGTCACTCGCTCAGTAGCTCACCCAGTGCTCGTTCACTCACTCGGCCCATCGATGTCTGTTATCCTTCGCTGGAAGAAGACTTGTCAAAGTGGTGTTTTTATCTCTCAAGCGGAGCCGCATCGAGGCGTAGCCCCTTTTCCGTCGGCAGAGGCTCGGGGGCGTGCGCTCTCGTCTCACTCGGCGTGTGTCGCCCCGCGCAGCTCGGCGTGCTCGCAGTGTCGGACACGGCCAAGGCCTGCCCGCTCGACTCCTGCTACCGCACGATGCTGTCGCCCGTCACCGCGGAGACGAGGCGCAAGATGGCGGCGTTCGTCGCCGCGGCGAGGCCCACGGACGCGCCTACCCAGCATGCACTGGGCTTCCGCCGTGCCTTCCAGCTGCTGGCGGCCACGCGGGAGCTGGGACGGGCGCGTGGAGGGTGGCGCCACCAGGGTCCGTGACGACCGCGACTCGTTCGGGAATGCACCCCACACTCGCTCGCCGCACTCGCCGCACTCATCGCCCCCACTGGCAGACTTGTGGCTGCACAGAGACGGCTGCCGCCAGGGGTGCCCTTTTTGAATGTTGGATATGTGATGCGAGGTGTATTGAGTTGCAAAGACATTTAGGCGCCACATAAATGCAAATATTTTTACTTTTACGACTGTCATCAGCCATGATCACTCAGCTGCTGGATGAAGGCTCCCCAAGCCATGTCGGCCATGACGGTTCATTGAGAGTACTTCCCCACATTCGGTCGGTGCAGGTTGGTGAATGAAGAGCCCAGAGCACTGGTTGGTCTCACGACAATCAACCAAATATGTTTCAATTCTCAAAGCTGGAATTTTTGCAAATGAAATGGAAAAAAAAAATCCACGTGATGCTTTTTTTGCGTGCAGTTATTGGTGCCCAGGCTGAGCCAATCGTTTTCCTACGGTTTCATCACAGTGGTGTGACAACCGGGATGTGAACCCAGCCGTGCCATCTCCGCGGTCTGAGCCCGGTGGGCCACTCGGCCACCGGCGACGCTAATGGAACGCAACGAACGCTCGCAGAACAGAATTCACCGTTCGAACACCGATCGGAAGCGCAGACTCTTAAAATTCCTCTTCGTGCAACTCGGTTCGAACCCATCACCTTGTACTGTGCCTCTTGGGTAGATCCCCAGCTCAAGGGCTTAAAAGCAGCGCGCATTAAACGCTGCTCGCAATTTCTTTATTTAGTGTTTTAAAGACGGGCTCTTAGCTTTTAAGATAATGACGGGGCCCCCGTTGCCGTTGGCATCGGGGGGCACTGGAGATTGCCACAGGGCGGACCCCCTCGTAGCTGGAGACACGCTCAGGAAATGACCGCTTAGCAGAGCCGGTGAAAAGTCAACGCGTGACACGGCGTCTTCTTCCATCGGCATGATTCACAGACGCTCCGCGTTGCAATTATGTAGCGTGTGCGCACGCGTGTCTTGTGTGTACGCGCCATGCTCACGGGAGCGGTGGCGCAGCGGTTAGCACGCTGCGCGATGAAACCCAGCGACCCGAGTTCGATTCCCGCTCGCGGCCAACATCGGTGACGAATTTCTGAACCGGCCATGCTGCTCGGCGTTTGTTGATGGAGGCAGGGAGCATAGACGTGGGAGCGTAGAAGTACAGTGCAGCAAAGGGTATTGCCGCAGTGCCCACTGCTGTCCGTGGCATAGGCCTGCAACTGGTCCACTCGCAGCCATCGTCAACTAAAAATGTAAAACAAATCACTTTGTTGGCGATTTGTTTTTGGCGCTCGTGTTTCATTTGCAACTAAATTTAACGCCGGTGTGGTGTCCTTTCCACGTCGCCCTTAGCAACGGCAGAGGTGGTGGACATGGTGATCGTGTACCTGTCGCCGGGGGTGACGGGAGCGTCGCCGGGCGACGACGAAAAGCGGCAGACGCTGGCGGTGGTCGCGACCGAGAACGCCGCCCTCAACAACTCCGTCATGATCCTCACCTACGCGCTCATGAACGGTACTGCGCGGCGCCCCCCCCCTCCCCCTGCCTCCGCGGTTACCACGGCGACGCGAAGGGCCTCATCTCAAGTGCCGCCCCCTCCCTGCTGTTTGTGTTTGCGAGGGGCTCTTCATCCTGGGCTCTCCTCACGCCCGCCCCTCGTTTGTTTTGCGTGACTCCAGCGTTTGTACTGCCGAATGGTGCGAAAGAAGTTCAGCGCGCATACACTTTGACGTGCTGTACATGTCAATCCACTGCTGGATGAGGCCCCTTCCCCAGAACGTGTGGCCCACAAGGGTTGTATGCAATACAAGGCAATGTGGATTGCTTACACTGTCTGAATTCAACTGCATCCCACTCACCGATGGCATTATCCCCACTTAGTACTGTATTTTCTTTGATGTTGATGACGTTGTTGTTGTCGTCGCAGAAGCGACGATGGGGCTTCGCGAGCTGGCCTTCCTGCGCGACCTGGCCGAACAGAACTCGGGGAAGCACGGCATCCCGGCGGATCGCCCGCCCTTCGACGATCGCCCCCGCGCCGCGCAGTTCCCGCAGGCCTCCTTCTCGGGGCCCCCGGCGGCGGCGCCCCCCCCGGCGGCGCCATGGGGCCCCCCACTCGCCCCCGCGCCCAAGGGCACCATGATGGTGCTCAACCCGCTGAGCAACCTGGAGACGACGGTGGGGAGGTTCTACACCAACCTCCCCAACCGCATGGTGGACCGCGCTGTCGTCAGCCTGCCGCGCCGGGACGACGTGGGCGACGGTGAGGGCGACCGCGGGCACAGCGTCTCGTACCGGTGACGACCGTCCGAACAGGTCCCCGGGGGCCTTCCCCTGGGTCGACTCGGCCTCAAATGAGTACCCGGTGCGACGTGTAAACATCGCCGCTGGGGAGACAACGGCGGCCGGGCGTGGTGTTGGCAAACCACCCCCCCTCGTGTGCCGTTCCGGCCTTCATAGGTGCTGCTCGCTAACAGCACTTGCCCCAACAGTCTGTTACAGGCTATACGGGGGATCTTTGTCGTTGTAGTAAGGGGCACAGGTGGTGCTTTGGACAGTCATCTCAGTCAGTCGACCGATGGCACCTGCTGGGTCTGTGCCGTGACCTCCTGCCAGTGACGAATGGGGGTTTTTGTGTGCAGTAGAGCCGCTGCTGCTGCGAGGTTCCACGCGATGATGGTTTATACTCCTTGACGAGTTCAGCCAAGGTATTGTGGTTCATTTGTGTCAAGTACTTTGTGCGTGTGTGTAATGTGCGTGACCTTATGACCTTTTCGTTCGGCAACCGGAAGCCAATGCGGTCTCGAGTCGGTTTTCATCAGAACGTATCCCACGTGTGCGGCCGCCGTTCAAATGCGAGGCGGGTGCCGGGTCGGGACCGTGCGGTGGTGAATGTGGGGGGGGGGGGGGGGGGGGGGGGCGGTGGTGGTGGCGGCACGGACTCCCCTGCCCGCCGCCGATGTTCCCGGGCTCGTGCGAGGTCTGGCCACCGTCCTGAGAGAGCACGGCGCGCGGCTCTGGGATGGTTGAGACGCGTTTGCCAAATGCACACTTTCTCCCTCATCCTCATCTCCATCCTCATCCCTCCTCCCCGTTGTTGTCCCGTTTGCTTGCGTTCGTGACGCAAATATCTTTTTTTCCCTTAAAAAAAACAAATACGGATCCGCGTCCGTGCGACGTTTTACGTGTTGGCGAGAAGAATTTACCGAGAGTAAATAAGATGCTGGACTTTTAAAGGGGGTGGGTGGGGGTTTTGGGTGGGTGGGGGGAGGGGGTTATTCCTCGTAAAACACCCGGCGAGTTGATGGACACAAAAAAATGACGTCCCTTGATTCCACGCGGATTTCCACCGTCGTTCACGCTCGTTGTATGCTGGTTGGTGAACGTGATTCGCGGGCGGCCGCCGCCGCTTTTGTTCCCATCAGTCGCGAGCGCTGTGACCGGGACTGAACAAACTACCGCAGCTTTGTACCGTATTCGACGGGGTACGGGGGCCATACATTGAGTCCGTACGCATGGAGTTGGGAGAGAGGGGTTAACCCAAATGCGTACGCTTGCGTATGGGGGCTCTACTGGCAATGTGCGTACGCATAGGTAACGGGGGGGTGGGGGGGGGGGGGGTGGGAGGTGAAGCCTCAATAATAATTTGTCTGCATTGGCCTTCAAATGAGTAAGATAGTCCGGCGGTGGACTATCTGTCTGCTTAAACACGTTAATATTATTCATCCTTGATGGTTTCTGCGTGGATTACATATCGGCCGTTCTTCAGGATTCGGGGAGGGGGTGGGGGGTCAGGCGTACGTACACGGTGGGGGGGTGTAAAAAGTACGCGTGTGTACAGGGAGGGGGGGATGGGTCAAGACTTGACAGATTTGTGCACATGTACTAAATGGATGGGCCCCTACCCTGGGGTCAAAGTAAACTTCTGCTGAGCCACCAAAATCCATAATAGCCATGTGACGATCGATATGTTGCTCTAGTGAAGGGGAGATCCCTCTGAAAGGCTGGTATCTAGGCCAAATTTTCGGATTTTATCGGATTAGCCTCGGGCGAGGTAGTTGAGACGTCAACTACCTCGCCCTGGTGTACAGGAGGTCGTGGATTACGATCCCGACCCTGACGCCTGACTATATGGAGTTGGAGTGTTCCCCCCTCCGTGGTCGTGTGGATTTATCTCCGGGTCCTCCGTCTTTTCCCTACACAGTTTGAAACATGCGTTTAGAGTATTTGGCGACTGCTATACATTTCCACGTGATAAGCTGCTTTGTTGAGATATCGTTTGTGGCCAGGTCGCTTCTGAAAAAGAGCTACGTGGCTCAGTCGGGCCTTACCTAGTGAAATAAAAGTAGTAAATCGTAGGTTGAGAGTTCAAATCCCGGTTGGTGGCTTTACCCAGCCCACTTTGTCGGGAGTTCTGCGGCGATTTTCGTTTGGATAGACTCGTCCCCCACCATAGGAATGTGGAAATCTCCACCGCTGCTCATTCACAAGCAGGAAATCACTTGTATATTTTTTCCCCATTTCACAAAGCTCGGGTTTTTTTGGTTTTTTTGCGAGCGCGTGGCGTGGCCCACAAGTGGCGCCCGTGCAACGCGCCGCTTCTCCTCGCCAGTCTCTCTGGCTCTCTTTCTCTCTCTCTCTCTGTCTCTCTCCGGAAGCTGATTAACCTTCATGTAGATTCCCGAGCCAGGCTGGTCTGTGCGTGTTCGTCCGCGATAACGAGATCAAAGCTCTGCGTGCGCGAGACGAGAGGAAGGGGAAACAAATTAACATTTTAAAGGGAATTTTAGAATTGCGCGCTGGAGGTGCCGCAGAGGGAGGGAGGGGGGCGGATGGTTCTAAGTGGGGAGGATGTTCGCGAGGCCTCCATGTGTTTCTAGGTACGAGAGCTAACAAAACAAATAAATAGATGAAGCAAATATCGTAGTTGCGTGTGGAGTCTTTAACGCTTTGAGTTTGTCCGCAGAAGTGTTTTAATTCGCCGCGCGGAAGCTGACGGGCAGCTGTTGGAGCAAAACGTGTCTGTAAATTTGTAAATTGTCCGTTAACCTCTGTTTTTTTGTTGGCTAATTTTTGGCAACGCATTTTTATAAACGTGCCCCGTTTCCTCGTGCGCGAGTCACTCAACACAACTGTACACCAACGTTTAATTTTTTTCCTTGGATCGTCTTTTAAGTCATATTTTCAACTTTACAAATCGCCTTTCGCATCCAAACATCTCAAAGCACTGTAAGTAACAACATAAAAACTTCGCTCGCTATCGTTTTCTTTTTTCATAATGCTTTTTGGAAATTGTTGAACATTTAAAATTTCATTTCCTACCCTTGTTGCCTAGTTAAGAATGATAGTTTTTAAAAAAAAGTAATTGAGAATACATTTCCCGAGGCGTTTCAAGCCGCTAGCGTCTTCAACCGAGTGTCCACAATCGTGTCGGCGATGCGAACGTCAATCCGGCGTCGATTCAATTCTCGCGAGGACACGTCGAGCAAAATAAAACGCGTATATAAACCCGCTGCATTCGCTACGCCTGATCCTCGTGGATAAAGGTGCGGCCCCGCAAGTGCTTTCTCACGCCACTGCCGGCGGAAGGGTCTCCACGAGAGTGAGTTCTTGGAGAGAAGACTGTTTGGTCTACTCTTCCGCGCGGGCCCCGGCATCTTGGAAAGTGTGGGTTATCCCAACTCCTCCCAAGACAATTTGGTCACAGTGTAACGGTGGGCCAAACACCCTCCTGGAGTGCGCTTCTGTAGAGCTCCCTGTGTTCATTGGAGGCCCTTCCTCCAATACTAGCCAGTAATTGCGGGGCTGCACATTTACATTGATCTAATGAACGAACGTGGTTGAGTTGGTTTGTTTTTTACGTGTGCCTGCCCACTCTGTGCACTGCATTGATTTTCGTTACGTAGCGCCAAACTCGCGCGTTGCCTCGCGTGGTGTGCGGGTCCGCGTCGCGCCTTCCAGAGCGCCCCCTTGTGGGGGCCCTGGCAACAGCGGTGAGACGCGGGGCGAGCAATTGCAAGGCCCCCCCCCCCCCCCCAACGTGTCTCCTTGAGTCCCTACGTTGACCGAATCTCATCTTTCCCTTGTGCGTTGCGGCGGCGGGGGCGGCGCAGGACTCGTGATGACGCTCAGCAAGCCGTGCTACTTTGGGAACATGCTGCTGGGCGTCGTGGGCGTCGACCTGGCGCTGGCGGACGTGCTGGAGGACGTCACCTACTACCAGGACAACCCGGCCTCCTACGCCTTCCTCATCAACACCAAAGGTGCCCGCCACCGCGGCACGCAGCCGCTTCCTGTAATTCCCTCTTCGCTGCCGCCCTCCTCAAGCGACGGCCCGGAATGATCGCCGCGGTGCGGAACTATAATAGCGGTAACAACTATAATTTCACAACAAAGGTTGTTTCGGGTTGGATCGCGTGTGTATAAATGTGTCGTTAACCACCCAACAGCCAATATAATGATAATGATGCTACGCACCGTCCGCTTAACTCGCAGAAGACCTTCAAGGACCCCCTGACGGCGTTTGCAGGAAGAGTAGGCCACGGTGCGCTGGTGTCGTGGTCCAATTTGGCAAATTCGAAACCTAAAAACTGCTTGCTCCGCCACCGCTCCCATTCCCTCTGCCTCTCATTTCCTCTCCACCCCCACCCTCGGCCCCCTGCCACCTCCCCGCCTTCCCCCGCACCTCTTCAACGCGACCAGAATGGCACCGCCTCGTTGAACGTGTCGGCTTGGCAAACCCACGGTGGCGTGCGAAATGCTTCCAAATGAAGCGCGGGGGGGGGGGGGGGGGGGGACTGCTTGCACGCCTCTCGAGAGTTCACGCGGTGGAGGAGTGTGGGGGTGGTGGCGGGGCGAGGTGGGCCGAGTTGTTCTACTGAACCTCTCTACCCTGCCCCCGAAGCGCCGTGACGTTTCGATCGTCTTGTGGGCACAACTCTCAATGCAATTACATTGTCAACGCTATCATTGGGTGGCCACCACGTACAGCGGGTGTTATAGGCCGCAGGGCCACGTCGCGGGCATCGGAGAGGGGCAGTGCAGCAAATCCATCGTTGTACTGTACTTATGTATGCTCCCCACGTCCCTGCTCTCTCCGTCTTGAACAACTTTAAACTCGACACTTTCGTCAATCGCACCATGTGGCCTTAGCGTTTATTATCGACCAATGGCCCTTCCGCTTCGTAGCACGTGGTCAGCGTTTTGTTATTTGTGCCCCAACGCCAATGCCGGAGCAACGCCAAATAATATTTTTAAACAACTCCCGCCGGTTTGTTGTACCTCCCAGACGTTAGCAACCCTGGCAGTGGTGATGTCACCGCCATGCGGTTAGAGCAGTGACGGTGGCGGCTTTTGTGATTCACTTCGCCAAACCACGCACTGCATCGGTTCCTCAGCAGTGCCTGAACTACTCCCGTGGGCCTTGCCTTAGATCAGCGGTTCTTAACCTGAGGTGCACGCCACCCCCTGGGGGTGCGAGATGCCCTTTCTGGGGGTGCGAGACATGGGCAGATTTTTTTAAGGTAAATCATCGAAACTCAAATTCAGCACGGGCACGTGGGTTATAACGTAGTTTTATCAAACCCGATGTATTAACATAAAACATTTTTGGATTGACAATCAAAGGCGTTCAAGGCTGCAGTAAAGGTTAAGAACCACTGCCTTAGATTGACTCTGGCCTTCAATGAGTAACCCAGAGTGCAGTGTACACGGGAACTGTTTGTTGCTGGCCGCTTGACGATTGGGGCCGCGTGGCTCCTCGCTCGGTGGCGGAGGCTGACCCGGTGCCGCCGCCGTGCCCACCGCACAGGCTACACGGTGATGCACCCGTCGCTGGTGCGGCCCATCCAGCAGAGGGAGCCGCCGCTCCACACGGACGTCCTGCACTACGAGAACGTGCCCGGCTTCGCGCTCGTGCGATACAACATGCTCAGGTGACCCCCCCCCCCCCCACGCCTAGATCCGCCCCAGCCCCCACCTCCAACATCCACCCACCCCCACACGGCCATCTCCATCCTTTCGGTTGGGGGGGTGGGGGGTGGGAGCCCGCACGCCCTCTGCCAGATATTCTCCGAGCTGCCCCTGAAGCCGGCCATTGGCTCGCTCTCGCCAACCTTCGGCGTGACCACAGAAACGTCGCCGATTTGGCTCCCCTGCCGTAGGGAAGGGAAAGAGCTGCTGCTGCTGCTGCCATCGCCCTTCCCTGACTGGGCCACTCGGATGGCGTCGCCCACTCGGGATAGGAGGCGGCAGTTGGCTTGATTCTGACAGCGAAAATCACGGAGGTTAGGAGTGCAAGCCACGCAGCAGCAGCAGCAATACAACCCGGCATGGCGGTGACGTGGCTGGTATGCCGTGGCAGTGCAGCAAGTGGAGTTGCAAACCCATCCGTGCAGATTACATTTAAGCGTTTTACCCGCTTGTGTTCCGTGGTGGGGTTTCTCCCCACTACAAAATCGCTTGTTTACAAATCGGTCTATCATTGGTCGAGCCGCTGCTGGATAAAAACGAGCGTAGTAAACGAACGCCGGAGCCGCGCTGCCCTTGCCTGCTGTGACCCCCGGTGCGCCCGCACGTCTGTGTGTGTGTCTGTGTGTGTGTGTGTGTCTGTGTGTGTGTGTGTGTCTGTGTGTGTGTGCGCGCGTGCTCCGGATCCCCTGTTGCAGCCTCCCGCTGGGCAGCCAAACCATCACCGTGCCCGCCAATGCCTCGCTGTCTTGGCACGCCAGCCGACTGCGCGACACCGGCCGGACGGGTGCCTACAACGTGAGCTACGCCTGGAAGCTGGTACGTGTCATCGTCGTCGTCGTCGTCGTCGTCGTGATTGCCGTCGTCGAGACGTGATCTGTCCACTGCTGGATGAAGCCTTTCCCGTATCGTCGCTGCCGATCTCAATATTGCGATGGAACAACCCACCAGTCCAGCGTTTTCAGTTCACAAAAAATATAAACTCAACGCGTTCATCGATAACACTATGCCCTCTAAATGATCATATATTATACAATAAATGGAAAATACATTTTGAAGATCTTTTTCATACAAGGAGAAATTTAAAACACGGCATCGCGGTGGCTGGTGAGCATTGGTGTGAGAGGTGACGCCGTGGTGACGACGCTTTGCGGTGGCATGCCAGGTCCAGGACACGGCGTTCATCGCGTGCGTCGCCGTCGTGCAGCCGACGGTGCCCACCAAGCACCTCAAGTCGCTGGGCGCGCCCCCCGGCGGCAAGCTGCTCTACCACCGCGTGGACCTGCTGAGCCCCCCCAACCTGTGCATGCACTTCCGCCAGCTGTCCACGCTCGGTACGCAGACCGCTCGCGTAGACCGCTCGCGTGCACCGGGCCACCCCGTATAGCCTCGACAGACTGTTGGGGCAAGTGCTGTTAGCGAGCACCGAGCCACTCGCATACACACCAAACGCACCGAGCCACACGCGGACACCGAGCCACATTGAGATGGCCAAGGTCATAATTTGGACAGAGAATTGGCGGTAAGCAGACTCGGCTCCCGCGTGTGAGTAGGAAAATGCTAGGATGAGCCAGGCCCCCCGAGGTTTGAGGTGGGCACTGTGTGTGTGTGTGCACGCGTCGGTGCAGAGAGCCCCACGGTGATGCTGTCTGCGGGGGGGTTCTCGGACCCGTTTGAGCACCTGAGCCAGCCGGAGACGCGGCGCATGGCGGAGCACTACATGGCGTACCTGAGCGACAACACGCGGCTCATCGCCAACCCCGGCCTCAAGGTGACTAGCCGATTGCTCACCCGCTCAATCACTCGCTCGTTCACTCGCTCTCCCGCTCGCGTGTTAATTCGCTCGCACGCACACGGAGAAGCTGGATTGCTTTGTTAATTTATAATCGGTCACTGCTTGCTCGCTCGGTCACTTGTCCGCTTGCTCGCCCGGGAACTCCCTCGCTCGCTTGTTGGCTTTTTTGCTCGATCAATCCTCTCGCTCGCCGTGCGCCGTAGTCGCTGGTGCGGGCGGAGGTGATGGCCACGGGCCACGTGTCGGAGGAGTGGACCACGCAGATGGAGCTCAGCTCGCTGCACAACTACATCGTGCGGCGCTACGTGGCCACGCCCAGCGGCGTGCTGCGCGTCTACCCCGGCACGCTCATGGACAAGGCCTACCACCCCTCCCGCCAGCAGTGGTACGGCCCACTCCGCCAACACCCCTCGCCAAACCCCCCGCAATCCGGAAGGTTTCAAATGGGGTTCAGGTGGAAGTGGGGGGGGGGGGGGGGTCGCTTCTTCTCCCCCTGCTGCTCATACCGTCCAGAATTATTTTCACCCCCAAGCTCCCCACTGCTGACTTGATCCCAACTCGGAGTGCGACCTTCCGGATGAGGCGGCATGCCCGAGCGCTTCTCCTGAAGCCGTCACCGCATACTCCTGCGGGTGGTGGGGGGGGTGAGGGTAGAGCAGGAAAAGTAGTGCGTCGAGGTGAAGGCTTCAGGGATGAAACTCTCAATCCTAGAAGGCCGAGTGCTGATTATGACTGTACGTATGTTGAACGTCTTTCGTACCGTACGTAGTCAACCGGGATATTCAGAGGTGCGGGCGTGTGATGACACGACGAGTTTTCATTTGCTTGCACGCTCCCGTCTCTGGCCCCAGGTACCAGCAGGCCATCGCCAACCCTGGGCTCATCACGCTGTCGGGCCCCTACCTGGACATCGGTGGGGCCGGCTACGTGGTCACGCTCAGCCACACCATCCACGCCTCCAGGTGATTGACCCCCCCCCCCCTCCTCCCCGTCACCGGCGCCCTGGGGTGGGGGACACAACCAGGGCCTTTGTAACCCCTGCGATGGGGCGGGAGGGAGGGAGGGCGAGAGGGCAGGAGGGAGGGAGGGGAGGGGAATGGAGGGAGGGAGGGAGGGCGGGAGGGAGTGGATGGAGGGAGTGGAGGGAGGGGTTGACTGATCGATGCCACCCACAGCTCCAAGGCGGAGCTGGGCCAGGTGGTGGCGGTGATGGGGATGGACTTCACTCTTCGCTACTTCTACAAGGTCCTCACCGACTTCATCCCCGCATGCAAGGCCGGGGCTGCCGGGAGGATCCGGTAACGGAGCCCCCACGCACATCATATCCCTCACCGCCGCCGTGGTCGGAGCATGGGGGGACGTCTTCCGACATCGTAGCGATGTCGCAAGTTTAGTTTACGATAAGATTTCTAAAACACTGGGAGTAAGTTCGAGTTATGACGTAGGGCGTTGGTAAAAGTTACGGGAAATTTTTCCGGTGCATCGATCGATCCCGACTTATAATTAACATAATTGGTGGCAGCATTTCTAATTTATATAATTAACATCGATAACAATTGGTCCGTAGGCAAGCCACAGACCGGCTTAAACGCGTGGGGTGATCACATCATGCCGTCAACAATGCACGGGGGGCTCTGTAGTGTCTTGGTGTGAAACTCCCGAGTCCCTTTGGAGCGCCGCGATCCGTTCCACGCTTCACCAAAGGTCTCTCCTCCCCCCGGCTCCCCCCCCCGCCCCCAACGGCAGATGCTTCATCATGGAGGACAAGGGCTACCTGGTGGCGCACCCCACCCTGGTGGACCCGCGGGGCCACGCGCCCGTGGAGCAGCAGCACATCACGCACAAGGTGGGAAGGTCGTCGTGTCACGCCGCCATGCCCCGTCCCATCTCCCCCGTTACCGTCCCCTTCGCCCTGTCCCGTCGCCCCGCCCCGCCCTGTTCCGTTTCCCCTGTCCCGTCGCCCCGTCCCGTTGCGCAGTGAATCGGGGAGGGGGGGGGGGGTGGGCAGATGGCAGGGGCCGTCACTTTTTGCACAAACGTAGAATATATTAATCACCCGATCATTCCTGCGGCGTCACCCCGCCAAGCAGTGGAGAACGCTCTGTGGAGCTCAGTGTGGGTCTCGGTGTCAGCCTTACGGGTCCCTTGTGTCAGCCTACGGGTCTCTGGGGAATTGTGTGCGATGACCACTCGATGCGACTGGGTTATCAAATAATGCGCTCTTATTGGGCCGTGAAAACAAATCGGTGATGCTAATGTTTTGCTACCTCCTCTTGGTACAGCAAGACCCGCCCGAGATAACGACGCTCGTGTCACGTAGGCCGTGTTGGCGTTTGAGAGCGAGTGGATCGCAGAGGCCCGAGAGAAACGTCACGACGACAAAGAAACGTTCACCTCTCAACGCATATTCCCACCGGGTCTGGAATGCCTCAGAATGTTCTTGTGCCTGCGGGTCCAGAATTAGACTACTCGATTGAACGAGGACCCACGTAATGAGACCAGGAACAAGGCCCCTATGTATGTATTATGTTGAACTTTGTTCGCACCATACGTAGCCAACCACCCTAATCGGAAGTGCGGGGGGAAGGACAACAAACCAACCACAAAAGCAGTTCTAAAGAAATGGGTCTTCAATCTAGATAATGATTTAAAAGTGCCGTAGCTCCAGCGGCTTCCTGGTATCGGAAGGAAGGGCAATCGGAGCCGCTCGTGGTAACAACGACACCCGGAGCACGGAGGGAATGACACGGAGCGAGCGCGCGGCTGCCATCATCATCATCATCGTCTTCATCGTCCTCATCATCGTCACTGTCGTCATCGTCACTGTCGTCATCGTCGTCATCGTCTTTGGCGCTGTGTGTCCCAGGAGCCGCTCGTCGCCAACGACATCCTGAACCACCCGATGTTCGTCAGGAAGAGGCTGTGCAACAGCTTCAGCGACCGCACCGTGCAGCGCATGTATCAGTTCAACACCAGCCTGCAGGTGAGAGCAGTCGACCATCCAGCACGCACGCACACACGCACCTCCGTCTGTGTGTGTGTGCGCTTGCGCGCGTGTATGTTATTTGCCGGGCCGGCTTTCATAGGTGCTCGCTTACCAGCACTTGCCTCAACAGTCTCTTGGAGGCTATCCGTCTACGGCTTACATCAGTGGCGAGTGAAATCAGAACCAACTTTCGTTCCCCTCGAAGTCGACTCAGCCTTAAATGAGTACCCGGGTGTAATTATCAGCTAAATCATAGTTGCGAGGATTAAAGTCGGATGGCGATGCCATCGATGATGTCGCGAGAGAGCTCTGGCCCGGCGGTGTCGAGAGTTCAGAAGTTCGGCTCCCTTGGACGTTGCCGCGATCTCTGGGCGCCGCCGCCATCGCCGCCGCCGCCAATGGCGCGCTAACCGTGCCGCGGTGACGCGCAGGGCGAGCTGACGAACCTGGTGCACGGCAGCCACTGCTCGCGCTACCGCCTGGCGCGCGTTCCCGGCACCAACGCGTTCGTGGCGCTGCTCAACGAGACGTGCGACTCGCTGGCGTTCTGCGCCTGCAGCATGGTCGACCGCCTCTGCCTCAACTGTCACCGGTAACCGCCGCTCGCCGCCACGCCAGTAACTGCCGCTCGCCGCCATCCCGGTAACCGCCGCTCGCCGTCACATCGGTAGCCGCCTCTTGCCGCCACGGCGATAACCGCCACTCGCCACCACGCCGGTAACCACTGCTTGCCGCCACACCGATAGCCGCCGCCACGCCGGTAACCGGCACTCGCCGCCACACTGATAACCGCCACCACGCCGGCTCTCGCCACGTCTCGGCTCACCGTGTCCTCCGCCCGCAGCGACGTCCACCCCCTCTCTCTCAACATAACCTCCCTCTCTCGCCGCTATCCTCACCTCCGCTCGCTAATCGCCGTGACCTCTACTCGATGCAAATTCGATTCGAACATGGCTTGTGCCTCACCATCCACGGCACCTGATCATCGCAACCACCACTCGCCAAGACGCTCGCACGCCACTACCGCTCGCCACCTCCGCCCCCAGCGGCTCTGCGTTACAACACGCAGGTCCATCTTGACTTTTATTTGCGCACGAGTGAAATGATGATAACGGTGGTGGGTAAGCCGGATTGATCTGGCCAGGCCAGGCTTTGGGGGGGGGGGGGGCTGCCTCTCATGCCCAGCCCAGTGGCCAGCGTTGCAAGGCAGCGTGGCCCCCCGGTCGCCTTCGGGGACGGCGAGTTGGGGGTGACGCGCGTTGGCGACGTGAACACGTGGTGTGTCCGCAGGATGGAGCAGAACGAGTGCGAGTGCCCTTGCGAGTGCCCCCTGGAGGTCGACGAGTGCACGGGAAACCTCACCAACGCCGAGAACCGGTGAGAAGAACCGCCCCACGCCGCAGGGACGTTCGTGCCGGCCTCGCGCCTACGCACAGCGCGTGCGTGAGGCACATACGCACGCGTGTCGTGCGCGCGCGTATGTGCCGGCACGGATTTAACAGAGAGCGCCCGAAAGAACTGCATTGTGATCGTTGAGCAACCGTTACCAACCAACGGGCAGCAATGAGACAGAGAAACATCTGTAGGTCCAACGTTTCACGTGCGCCCACACACAGGGCAACCGTCAGCAGGGTGGTGTGGTGCATTCTACTGCTAGCCAGCGTGCACACTCGCCCCACCTCTAGCACCAATCAACCAACTGCAGCCATTGAGCGTCACACCGGTCCTGCCGTTGAGCCTGGGCCTAGCCCACCGGCCATTCGTGTGGTTACCCCCACCCCCCCCCCCCCCCCCCCCGAGCGAACTTAGGCGACCATCCACGAGCACGAACCCTCACCGGCAAGCCCAGTGTCCGCCGGCATGCGCCGCTCATGCCGTCGCTGAAGCGCGTTTCCCCCCTCGCGCACGGGCGGCTTGCTTTTCCCTCCGGGTGCTTCGGTTTCTTTTCCCGCGCGTGCAATCGCTCGTCAATTAATTGGCTGTGAAAACGTCAAAATATTCAGAGGCTGCGGTCGGGATTTTGGTCAGTTGGTGGAAGCGGGGACCGCGCTCTGCCAGGCTGGCTGCCTCGTCGGCGATTGAGAGCAGCGGTTTTTGCACGCGCGACGACGCTGTGCATGATCATTGTGATTGAAACCAACTCGCCGGCCAGCCCGCTGCTGGGCACACTAGCCCTCTAACTTATCCTTACCCCAAACTCTCCGCCGAGTAACAAGAACCCCCTTCACTCTCCGTTTGCTTTTGAGAGTTTTGTTTCTGCGTAGCGCCCACTTCCTCGGGAGCCCGCTTGGCGTGCTGCCCCCCCCCCCTCCCCCCATGTGTTCCGAGTTAAGCTTCTGTGGCCATTTTACCTCCTTGCACAGGGGGGGGGGCCCTGACTGAGCACCAAGATGGCTCCGACGGTGGCGGCACGGCTCCGCGCTCGCCGGAGAGATTTATTTTTTGTCGTTGGCAGCGTTTGGGCACGCACGTGCCCAGTTTTTTTTTTTGTTATCAAAGGAGTGCAGAGCTGCGCTCGGCGATTTTAATTTTGCAACGGCTCCGAACGTTTTGCAACGAACGCCTGCAATTAGAAAACGAAGCTCCGTCGTGAGTGAGATGGATTTGACTGCGGCGAAACCGCGGAATGCGTTACCAATGCACAATAAAGGATGCCAGAACAGTTGTGGCCTTCGGGGTCGTTATTAAAAACACGTGCTTTTTTTTTTTTAACGGAATCCGTGACTCCGGTTGCAGCGGTTCCCCGACCCTGGTGGACCGTTGTGCCACGCTGTCGGAGATGTCTGTTGTTTTGTGCAGCGAGCCTCGGTGCCTGCAACGTTCCACGGGTTGCATCCCCTACTGCCTTGCGGTCCCACACGTTAGGAAACGCCACGTCTCTCGTTGCTAAATTCTGATCTGAGTAATCGTTTTCGAGCTTGCCGGCGAGCAAGTTGAAGCAACGCGAGTAACCGGCGCGTCGCTGCAACGCTTGTACACGCGGCAGTTTAAGTAGCTTGGGTGGTGGAAGGGGCACCAGCGACACGAGTGTACGTGGCCTAGCGCCAAACATCTTATGAATCACGGCATGATCCTGTAGAATAGTGTGACTGGACGCGCATGTCTAGATCAATATTTATTGGTTAATCGATGCATAGATTGTTCAGCCTCGTGATTGATCACTTGAGCACAAAAATGTACGCGTTTTGATTGGGAGAGGATGTGTTGCATGGGCAGGAACTTGAGTTAAGTTCCTGGCCACGGCTACCATCACTGGCGAGCAATATCTTTCACCGGGCGTTTGTGAAAAAAAAGAGCTTCATAGCTCATCAGATTCCACTAGCCTAAATAAAGATTCTGTTTCTGATTAACTGGTCCTGGGAGCCACCTCCCTCACTTTTTCCCAACCGAGTGGTGAAGTACGATCAAACAACTCCGATGAGACCGTCACTCGCAATGAGGGAGTTCTTCATCCAGCAGTGGATTGACAATGGCTGCACGTTGTACGCGACACAATTACAGCAATAATGTTGTAAACTGCTGCCACGTGTGCGCCGTTCCCCCTCTCCGCCCCCCCCCCATCCCAGCAACCCCAGCTGTGAAGTCACACAGGAAACGCTGAGCCTGGCCACCTTTGACCCCGCGCTACAGGAGACGCTTCCCCAGTGCATCAATACGCGCTGCAGTCAGCGCCACACCAAGAGGTAGCGTCGCGACCGTCAAGAGCGGCGACGCACCGGGCGCGGACGCGCGCTGTGTTTCCCGTGTGCGTGCGTGCGTGCGTGGCCACGTTTCACGTGTGTGTACGTACGCGTGACTGCTTCAAGTGAATTATCGTTTGAATTTCGTGTGGGCGTGCCTGTTTGCGAGTGGGTAGTGGTAGTGCAAAAGTTGGCGCACTGCGCTACGATTCCAGCGATCAGATTTTGATTCCCACTGACAAACACCCGTGATGATTATCTGATGCGGTCCAGGGCTCAAATGAGTATCTGGTGCACTGTACAAGCATCACCACAGGGAGACAAAGGCAGGCGGGTGTGATGTTGGCCATTCACCAACTTGGATGCCATGCCAGGCCTTCATCGGTGTTGCTCACTAACAGCACTTTCCCCGAGAGCCTATTGAGGCTATGTATGTATTTTGAGCTTATTTTGCACCATGTGTAGCCAACCGTGCTAATCGGAGGTGCAGTGGGGAAGGACCACAAACTAAGCACAAAAAACTGTTATAAAGGAATGAGTTTTCAATCGGGATTATTTTGAAGTGCATAGCTCTAGTGGCTTCCTAATATCGGAAGGAAGAGCGTTCCAGACGGCCGCAGAAGCGCATCTGAAAGTGCGCGATGCGGTGACCGTCTTTGTTTGATGGCCGAGCCAGAAGCCACTGCTGTTGCTGCGAGGATGACCGGAGTTGGCGTGATGATGCTTTATGCTCCTTGACGAGATCAGCAATTCACCGCGGTTCATTCGTGGCGCGCACTTTGTGTGTAATTGCTGCGACCTCATGATATACAGCGGGGTGTGGATCTTTGTTGTTTGGCGGCAGTGACTGCTTCGGCGTGCTGGACTGCGAGTGGTGCACGGTGGACTCGGACGGGGGCACGGCGCTCGACGCGCCGTACTGCGCCCCCCAAAAGGACTGCTTCGGCGGCGTCGTGGGCGCCCGCAGCCCCTACGCCGAAGGGAAAGGTGGTGAGCGGACCCCTGACGATTTTTCCTCTTGCGAGCCAACACTGACCGGGAAATGACTCGGCCAGAAACGACGGACACGACGTTGCCACAGCCTCGCTCGCTCAGGCAAACCGATCGGTTCCCGCCGCGCGATCCGAGGCGGGGCTGCGTTTTTCCCCGTCGCGGCCCAGCTCTGACCACGGCTAGCTGTGGTGGCGCCGTGGTGGTTTAGGCCCCGTGGGATCTGCGACTTTGCCGGGGCTAAAAAAATTACCTCTCCTTCGGGAGAGTCGTCAATGAGAGTGTTTACGAAACGCTTGTCGACGGCCATCCATTGCGTCTGTGGTCGTGAGACGGAGCGGGCCGCCGTGTGTCCGGGGCGCGAGGCTGAGCGACCGCCGTGTGTGTCTCCCCTGGGGCAGCCGTGGAGGACGCCGGGGCCCTGGGGGCCGTGAAGAGCGCCCCCGTGGGGCCCGTGGCCGGGGGCATCATGGGCGTCGTCATGGTGGTGGTGCTGGGCATCTACGCCTACCGCCATCAGAAGCAGCGGCAGCGGCACCAGCACATGTCCCCGCTCGCCACGCAGGGTCCGCACACCTCTCCTCCGCACCATCGCCATAACGACTACGACCACAACAATGACAGGAGTGTTCACGTGATGATAATAATAATTGTATTTGTGAAGTGCCTTGCTTCTCAAGGCGCAACAGCAGACAGCTCGTGAAACCAGACGCTAATAGACGGCTAAATAATCAAATAAATGCGAAAAACATTTTTTTCTTAATCAACCAAAAGTCGAACGAAACGGGAAGTGCGTGGATAAGATGTAAGACGAACTTTTAAATGTCCACAGGGGGGGGGAGATCCTGAGATCTCACAGGAGAGCGTTCCAGATTCGGCGGGGGGTACTGCCTACTGCACGGCGAAGGAGCTCGAGCGCTCATAGGCCGAAGCCTCCCATGACCTGAGAACGCGGAGATCTGAATCCCACTCCCCAGGCCTTTTAGGGGATTTTAGGGGTTGTGTGTGTCGGGTGTTGCAGCATTTTGCTCCCAGAGTGAAGGCGATCATCTCGGCGCAGGTTCATAGCCCCAAGGAATAACGATGGTAATTAAAATAACCTTGCGAGGCTGGCGAAGAGGCCGAACCGACGTAGGGGGAGAGAGAGACCTCTAGGTTTTTAGAGACGTGGCCTCTAGGCGTGATGGGAACATCCCGGGGGGAGGAACCATGTCGATGTTTGGTCAAGTCGATTGAGAGCGAGAGACTAAGCTGGACAGACAGCGTTGCAAAATGTAGCCGGGAAGACCGTACACCGAGCTAATAGGTAAAGACGCAGCCCTGCGACTTCCACCTCCAGTCCGCTGCTGGAGGAAGGACCTGCACAAGAGGGGGGGGGCTCTCGGAGAGCCCCTCTCCAGTGGTGTTTTTGGCCTACTATTTGACGCTGGTCAGACGTCTCGGAAGGCGTCGGACTAAGCCGCGCTCGGGACACTCGTAAATAACGGGGGGTCGCTATGGTCGCGCGGCTGCATTCGTGTGTTGTGCGCAGAGATGTCCGTGCGGATGTCAAACATCGACACGGAGCGCGACGAGGACAGCCACGAGGACCGCGGCATCAGTGAGTAGCGTTGCCCCCCCCCCACCGCGCCGCCAGCGTCCCTCTACGCCCGTCTTCGGTTGAGGTCCGCGCGTTGACGACCCGCGGAGCGGGGGGGGGGGGCGTCGTCCAGCAGCGGTTTGATGATAATGGCTGGTGATGGTGAGCCTGCTGAGACCAGGGGAAGTGTTTTTATATCAAGGTGGCACGCGACGACTGTGAGCCGGGCGAATCTTACGGGGGAGCTCGCGGATCCTGAGCGCAAGCCAACGGGAATTCACGAGAACGTGATGATGGCAGCATCTCGGTCCGAGCGCTCGCTCGCAGCACCTGCGCCTAGCAGGATGCGTGGCTACATGGGGGGGGGGGGGGACGGGTGGGCGGATCTTTGCTCTATGTTACTGTCACTATGTTTGCGTGGTGCGTCTGCATGGTAGTGTCACTGTGCGTGTGTGTCACTGTTAGTGTCACCATGTCACCATGTCACTGTGCGTCTGTATCACAGTGTCGCTTCGTGTGAGTGTATATGTGTACCAATGTCACCGTATCACTGCGTGTGTCAGTGTCACTGTGTGTGTGTGTGAGTGTCACCGTATCACTGTGTGTGTTATGATGTAACCGGATCACTGTATGTGTCGGTGTCACTGTGTGTACTCTTTGGTTCTATTGGGTAAAGTCACGTAGGTGAAAATAAAATAACAAAAAATCACGAAGTTTCGGCCACAACACAAGCGGCCTTCATCAGGTGAAGGGACGAGACTGTCTGGAGGACAGCGCTGGAGTGAGAAAAGCCACGCTTAGATCACGACCTTTAAGCTGTGTGAGAAGAAAACAAAGCGCCTTGACAAAGGAATTAGCATATAATTTAGCATTGAAATGGCTCATTGAAATAGCTAAGTTAAAGTATACACATCCGCAAAGGTACCCCTTGACAAAGGAATTAGCATAGAATTTAGCATTGAAATAGCTGAGTGATTAGCTTGTAACTGGTCACAGAAATAGCTATGTTAAAGTCAGAGCATATACATTCACCGAGGCACCTAGTACTAATTAAACAGGAGAATTTAGCGAAACACAACCACGCTCAGACAGCGGACATTTAAACTGTGTGCGAGCAAACAAGGTGTTCTGACAAAGAAATTAGTCACTGTGTGTGTCAGTGTTACCTTATAGCTGTGTGTATGTGTGTGTTAGTGTCACCGTGTCACTGTGTGTGTGTGTTAGTGTCACTGTATCGCTGTGTGTGTGTGTTAGTGTCACCACGTCACTGTGTGTATGTGTGTTAGTGTCACCGTGTCACTGTGTGTGTGTCCGTGTGGTGCAGTGGGTCACACTCGCTTCATCGCCGCCGTCATGGAGCGGAGGGCCCACAGTCCCGACCGACGGCGCCGCTACTGGGGACGCTCGGGCACCGAGAGCGATCACGGTGCCACCCGCTCGCCCGCTCACCCGCGCACCGCCACGATCACTTGCCTTGCTCGCCCACCCTGATCACCCACCAGCCTCGCTCACTCGTCCAGCATGCGCCACCACGCCTCGCCCTCTATACCGTCACCACCATCACCACACCCCACGCTCCACCATGCCGTGCGTACCACTCCGCTCAAGCACACTCCCACACCCTCGCCATTCCCCTCCGGGCCATGCTGCGCGAGCTGGCGCCTAACCAACGTGTTCATCAGGCGCCCGCCTGCCCCCCCGCCAGAGGGCGGCTTGTTCAATCTGGCACAGCTCTTACCCGTGCCTGCAAGTAGCAGCGATCTGGGGGCAGAAAGCGGCGGCCTAATTCGTTGACGGGGGGGGTGGAAACCTGAGTGAGCGACCAAAGCAAGTGCCCGCAGATTGCCGAGCGTGACCGTGGCGCACGGTGCCGTGGGTGGCTCGCTGAGCGTGCCGTGTCTCCGTGCCGCAGGCTACAGCACCATGAGCCCGCAGGAGGACAGCGAGAACCCGCCTTGCGGCCTCGACCCGCTGCCTCCCATCGGCCTGCGCCTGCCCTCCTCGGGTCGCCGCGGCGACCACCCCGCCGGTCGCTGCGATGACGCCGGCCGTTGCCGTGGAGCGCAGCATCACGCCCAGCAGCAGCAGCAGCAGCACCAGCTGCAGCAGCAGCAGCAGCAGCTTCAGCAGCAAAACGAGGAGTCGTCTCGTTACCGTGACGACGAGGAGCTGGAGCCGGACACCCCGCCGCAGACGGCCGCCCTCCTCGCCAAACCGTGGGGGGGGGGCGGCGGCGGCGGCCGCCCGCCGAGGCACGGAGGCGGCCACCACCACTTGCACCACCACGGGCCGGGCTCGTCCTCCCGCCACGGCCACTGCCTGCAGGCGGCCGTCACGGTGCACGCCGAGTGCTGACGGTCGCCCCCGGTCGTCTGGCCCGCGCGGCCACCGGCGGCGGGCCCGTCGGGGGCCGCCGCGCGGCCTCCGACCCGCGCTGCCGGTGCCCCTGGGAGCCCTTCGCGCGACGAGGGCGGCGGTGGGAAATCGGCGGTGCGGGGGTGGGACAGCCCCGCTCGTCGACCTGCGGTACGCGACGTGTTTGGGGGAGGGGGCGGGGGGCTTGAAGGTGAGGAGGCCAGAACGCAGCCTGGCATCCGAATCCGCGCCGCCACCCGTTGTGCCCGGCGCTGCCATTCCCCTCTCCCTGCCTGCGTGGCATCGTCGCCCATTTAGTGACGTGCGGGCACGCTCGGGGGAGGAGGGGGGTGGGGGTAAGCGTCGGTAGATGGGGCGGCGCCTCGCCATCGAACGCCTGGCCGAAGGCCGTTGACGGCGGGGGAATCCTCTGGCGTGCAACGGTCCCTCCGGTGGCCCCACGGCTCAAAGTCTCCGAACGAATGTAAAACAACAGAGCTGTCCGTGGTGCCGTGTGCGGACATCGACGAACTCCGCGAGTCCGGACACGAGGTGAGAAACTTCACCTGTTGAAGAGGAGAAAACGCCTGCGGAGCAAGAAAGTCGCTTTGAAAATGTGAAATTGTTCTTCGTTGGTAAGCGGCGGAGGTACGCGCGTGGTGGTGGTGGTGGTGGTATTATCTGTGGACGCGATACGATTATGATGTTGTCGTCGACGAGTGGTTTAAACGTCTCCGGATATGAAGTCGAGTTTTTGATGTAGGATAACAAAAGTGTCTCGTGTTTAAAAGCCCATCGCACGCGCACGCACACGCCGAGAGTCGCCGTGACGATTCTTCCTCACGCGAGCGAACACAACCGGACGATGAAGCAGCCCGAGCGAAGGCGAGCAGACCGGACCGGATCTGACCGGAACGGAGTGGAACAGACCGGACCGGATTACAATCGACCGGAACGGATCTGACCGGGACCGGATTTGAATCCACCGGAACGGACCCGACCGCAGCGCGAGAGGCACGTGGTTGGGATTGCTATCTCCCGAGAAGTCGACAGGGAAGAAAATGGAATTTAAATGAAGGAAGTGAACACAAGTAAATAATGGAACAATGTGATGGGGGGGGAAAAAAACTGACTCTTAAACAACAGGCCTGGTACTAAAGTTTTATATTCGATATCCGAATCACGAGGAGAGCTATTTTATTGATAAACTCGGCAGTTGAAAGCAGTGCAAGGCGGCAAGATGACAATGATTATTGTTTGTGTTTTTAAAAATCGCAGCTCCCGCGGTAGGTTTTCCTCGCGAGAGAGCTGCTATTGCGGCTACGATTACCGCGCCTGAGGTACACAGAACCGGGATGACATCACGGGTGAGAGAGGAATCATGTTTCACAACACCAGGGGAGGGGACTCCACGCCATCGCATCGCGGACTTGGCACCGTCTTATCAGGGACTCGTCGTGTCCCAGAAGAAGACGGACAATATTCCCCAGGACAGCAGCTGCCTTGACAAGCCGAGGATCCCGGGGAAATCCAGGAACACCCCGAGTTGTGGCCGAAGGCGTTCTCCTCCCCCAGGTTCTGACGAGGCGTTGGCTCGCAACAGGCCCGCTCCGTGGGAAAAGGCGCGACGGCATCTTCTTGTCTGGTGCTGTTTGCCACGGGGGAAGGCGTCCACCTCGACACGCCAGCGCCGGTTGTTGAGTCGGTCGCAGGTCCGTGTGAGCGGTGAGCGAGTGCGCGCGAGGTGAGTGTGTGTCTTTGTTTTATCTGAAGTCCTGTGGTAGTTACAGTCACGGTGGAGATGGGTCAGTGGCCACTTGCGCCTATCCTGCGCCCCCACCAGCCGGCGTGGTGGGTGTGTAGACGCCGATTAGCACTGCTGAGTCGCCGTCTGCCACTAAGAGGAGAGACGGGAGACCCTGACCCATAACTCCTAGGTCTGTCCAAGTGGACCGCCTGCCTAGCGAGCCTTTGGCACTTCACGAGGCAATCCAATTGCACCTAGCCTGGCGCAAGCGCCGTGGTGATGTCACCGTCGCCTTAGCGGCGAATGGACGTTGCCGATGTGTTGCGTCCGTGCGGTGGGCCGGTGGCAGCACAGTAGTTTGTGGCACAGCTGCAAACTTGACAAGGCCTGCATTTGATTTTTCTGGCCACCGCTAACATCGGTGGCCAACAGGTATTCCCCGACCTGTCCTGGGCCTCCCGCCTGTAAGGCCACTCGGCCTTGCACGAGTACCGGCTGCGGTGTCGAGGCATCAACACCAGGGGAACACAAAGGGTGGCCCGTGGGGAGGGGGGGCCGGCTTACACCATCCGCTCGTGCACGTTGCCGGCCTTGATAGGTGTTCGCTAACAAGCACTTGTCCCCAACAGTCGTCCAAATGGGAATATCTTTATTTCGGTCTGCGTATGGATTTGTGCGCGTGTCTAAACCGCGTGCGCGCGCGTGTGCCACCGTGTATATTAACACGTGCCATTTCTCTGTGGCGCGGATTTTGGAGAACAAAACTGGTGGATATTGATGATGATGAAGATGCGGATCTGTTGGGGCACGTCCTTCGTGTGTTTATTTGTCTCCTGAGCTGCCAAAGTGTGCGAGATTGTTACCTCATTTTCATGAAAAGGCATTGCTATGTCACTTCACATACATTTTTTGTTGTCGTCGGTCCTATGTTATTTATTCTTTTAATTTGTATTGTATCACTTTACGTGCTCTCTGTTCTGTGCCTGCATGTGTTTATATTTTTAATTAATGACTTGACTTGTAAAACGAACCGAGCTCTGGTTTTGTGTTTTGTTTTACCAACTCCTCCGTGCGGAGTTTGCAGGGGAGAGGCGATGATTTGACGTCAGTTTTTTTTTTGCCAGATGCTGGCAATGTTGCCGCCAAAACTGACTTTTGTCAACGCGTGAATTTGAACCCCCCCCCCCACCTCCCCCCCGGGAGCTTGAGTGCGGGGAAAATTCTTATATTTTTATAAAGATTTTCCGTAACTTCCCGCCCAGGGCTACGATTGTGGGACGATCATTAATGTCGTGAGAGCGAAACGGGTCGTAAGTCAAAAGGTAAAAATCTTCGGTGTCGTAGCGAGATGGTGAAGCTCACTCGCGTTAAGAACTGTTTGGTTGGTAACGTCATCGAAACCCGCTGTCGCCGGCCAGCCAACCTGGCGGCAAGATATGAATCTATTCGCGCTGACCCGGGTCACCATCGTGACCCGGGTCACCATCGTGACCCGGGGGTGCCAAAACCTCCATAACTCCGAAACCAGAAGGCCTATGAAGATGGGAGATGTCACTGAGCCCGATACGTACGCCAAATATGGAAATAAAAAAACACACGCAAAACACTCATAAACAAGGGGGGCTGCTGGGGATTTGTGCGTGGCAACGGCTGTTTATCGCTTGTTGTGAAAGTACATCGGGATGCTGGTCTGGTCATTCCCCAGCACGTTCTGCTTCTTACGGGGGCGGCCACCCCATTGTCTTTGGGAGCGAGACCACTTGGAGGCAATGGCGCACCAGGCGCTCTCTTGGTACGGCCGGCGGTCACGGTCGTGCTGGCGGGATCGACATCGTCGTCATCATCGCTCCCAGTGTCGCCCTCCGGCAGGACAGGGTGGTAGTACCAGCGATGCTACCAGAAAAAAAAGCTTAAACTATGTCCGGCCCACCAATATTTTGCGGTGACCCGAGCTACCGCCAATCGATTCATATAACCAAGCCCCATGCATCATCATATCTGGTATGATGTCATCGCCGTTTAACACATCTGGCTGAGGGAAGAATTCTCATGCCCATTTATTGTTGTTCGTGTTGTTATCACGGTGTTCCGATATAATCGGCGCTAACGATGAGACTTGCCCGTCAGCCCTTACCCACCCGTGACATTGCTCGTATGTATGTTCAACTTTCGCCGCCGCACGTAGCCAACCGTGTGAATCGGTGGTGCGGGGGAATGACGGCAAACTAAAAACCTGAACCCGCCACCCAGTACCGTAACTCTCTCGCGACATCGCTGCGATGTGCTCCGAACCCGGAGTTTGAGAATCGTTATTTCAAAAGAGTTTTGTGCATTTTCGCCACGGCCGGACCGGCCCAATAGGTTCGTCTGTCGCCGTCTGCGTCTTAATTCTGTTTACAGCGTGAGCCCGCTCGGACGTGCAAACAAAAAAAAGGTAGGCGCGCTCTCACTTTGTCTCGTTTCCACGAAGTCGGAATGCCAAATGTACCGCGGTTTTAGGTTTTTACGCCGCCGTTCACCGTGTAACTCCCGCTTGTTTGTTATTGTATGACATGTATGACATTAGGTTCTTGTTTAGCAAGGAGATGGAAACACGGAGAGATGTTGAGCCCCCCCTCGTGTTCCTTGTCTTCTGTCTCTAACTGATCGCGTTTGCAGGGTGAGCCCTGTGCAGCTAGTGAGATTTTTTTTTAAACTTCATGGCGAGCCGACGATCAATTTCATCCACCCCAGCAAGCCTGGATAGACTGGAATGCTAGGCCAACTAAGCCACTGCGCACATAAGAAATACTAATAACAAAAGCCTCCCTGACTCTCGAGACACAGTTTCACGAGGGGTCCTGCATCATCGCAATGTTTGGTCATGAATTCTGTGACGTGAGAGTTTGGCCTCGTGTGGCAGGAGACCGGAGAAAACCCCCACCACACAGGGTGGGGAGTGACACTCGGCACTGCCTTCTCCTGGCCACACCTCGAATCGGCCGACAAAGCCTGGCATGGCCTTGGGTGGCGGTCGCCCATCCAAGCACTAGTCAGGCTCGACACCACTCAGCGGATGAGGTTGTTGTGCATTCCAGGCGATTTGGTTATCGGCCATTCGTCTTGTATGGCCGTGCGGCAGCGCGGTTGACTCTTGGTGCAGACGGACCACGGTTCAAACCCGAGTGGACCGCCCCGGTGAATACTGCGAGTGTATTAACCAAACGCGCTTTAGATCCCGTGACGGTGATTTGAAAACTCCAGGGGGGAGCGTCGCCAAAGCGGAAACGGAAATTCCTCGCAAATGATCACTCGTGGGCGAAGCCACGGAGCAGCATTGCCGCCGCGTGCTTTGCTGGCAGACGACACCGCCTAAGTCCAACAACAGCCCCGTCGGTGACAGCCTCTGACTGACGGGCGGCACGGGTTCGTCCGATGGCTCTTCACACGGAGCGTCGTGCGGTGCGGCGTGCTGAGCGTGAACACGGGTGGGTGGAGGGGGGGGACGACGACACCCAACGCTTGGAATACATTTTCACATTTTTTTATTTATCAAAAAAAAGGATCAAAAACATTTTTTGTGTATTTTTTGTTAAATGCAGCACATTTGTAAAGTTTTTAAGGTCCATGATTTGTGTCCGTGAGTCAAAAAGTGCGAATGCGCGCGCGATCGGGGAGGGGTGGACGAAAAAAATGTGGCCGTGCCAGTTTTTTTTTGAAGGCCAAACGATTCCGAGGGGTTTCTTTCAGAATCTCTGCCCACTATCGTCGTCACCCCCCCCCCCACTTACCCCCCTTTGCCCCCCCCCTCGCCCCCCCCACTGCCCCCCCACCTCCCTCTACCCCCCCTCGCTACCCCCCTTCGCCCCCCCCCCTCTCACGGTCCCACGGCCGCAGGTGTTTGGCCAAAGCCAATGTGAGGCAGGTTACCTGATTAATTCTTTTGATTCGAGTTATTACGTCAAAATTATTAATCACGGTTTTTTTCCCCCCCGCGAACTTAAAGCTAAAGGTAGAAGTCCTAATTAAACAGCAGTTTATACATTTTTGCTAGTCAGTGATTATTAATGAAAGCAGCATTTTTTTTGGTAAATTACATTATTTTTATTATATAAAAAAGACACTGAGATAAGGAGAAAGAAACCCAACGTACGAAAATATATTCCCTATGAATTTTTTGTTTTATTTTTACGTTTTGAAATTTTTCCATAAAAGGTATTTTTGCCGTGTGTGTAAATATTCAGCCATTCCCGAGCAAGTGACGACGAGATATATAGATACGCTCAGTAAAAACAAAACATTCTGGTTCTCCAGTCACCTTCAGTGCATCCAACAAGTCCTCGAATTTTAAAAGCAAAATGGTGCTAAAAGTGAAAAGCGATCAACAAATGAAAAGGCCGGCATGGTTTGAAGTTTTAAAACAACGTGCGATTTGCTTCTGGACGAGCGCCTGTGGAGCTGCTGCTGCTGCTGCTGCTGGGCTCGTCGTGTGTCAACGGCTCGGTTTGTTGGGAACTCAATTCGCACATTGAGGTGATGGGCGGACGTCTCTTCGTGTGTTCGTGTTGCCGTTGGCAAGTGAGCCGGCTAACCATCCGAGCAACTGGCCGGCGAATGACCGTGGATGGGGCGGTGGCGTGACCACGTGGAGTCCATGGTTTGAAATGCTAAGTCTCGCACGGACGTTAGAACTTGCGTGGAGACCCGTGGACTCCGTTAGCTAAGCATGCCCAGTGCATTTACTGTGGTTCACAGTTTGAGATTGGCGAGTGCAGTTGTACTGTGGGCTGTTTTTACTGTTAGGGTTTGGGATAGAGGCTACGACAGTCTGACCGGCTCCATGTGCTGCTGCTATTCCTCTAACCCTCAATATTTGGCAGCCCAGACCCATCCTATTCGCTTTTCACTCTTTCGGTGGCCCGATTCACGCAGCATTGATGATCATTTCTGCCCGGGGTTTTTTTTTTGTAATCGCCGGCACCACCAGAATGCCCTCCCCTCCCCCCCCAGCTATAATGCCCTCAAGCGGGAAGAACGGTGGCGCAACTTTGTCTGCCCGCCGCTTTTGGCGCACAATTTGCAGGAGGCGTTTCGCGCGCGCGTGTACAGTATAAAAAGCCGCGGGTGACGACGACGACGCAGCGACCATTCGCCACAACAAAACGTCTTCCGGTGAGGTCGGGGCGGCAACCCTTGCCCCGTCGAGACCGGCAAGAGCGCGAGGCGTTGCCGCAGAGGTCACGCGCACGCACGACCTCAAAGTTCTCTGCCCCTTTAAAGACCCCCCCCCCACCACCACTGCGTGTGCTGCCCTCTGCCACTGACATACACCTGACCTCCTCTGACCTCCTCTGACCTCTGGCCCAAAGCTCTCGTCTGTTGAGAGCCGTGCCTTTGGGCACTATCTGCACGACGACCCCTCTTCTTCTTCCCCATTCTCTCTTTTTGTTTTTTGGCCCTTAGAGTCCACGCTTATTCCTGCAAAAGTGAAATCGCGTACGGCAAGAAAAACACTCCTAGGAATGCATCGACGCACGAATTTGGAACCTTCAAGGGCAAATTCATAACAGCAGAACGGATTCCATATTTCAACCGCCCTGTGCCAGTCATCGCAACAACTCTTACCCACAACATCCATGTTCCCTATGGTTGCCACCTGCCCTGGTTTTCCCAGGACACCTCTCAAGACGCAGACTTAATGTTCTACTAAGATGGGAAGGGCTATTGTCTGACCTGTCGCCAATCACGTATTTGATCCTTTTCAAGGCCACAGCGTTATTGACGAATGTGTTTTTTACTTTTTGCATCGTCCTTGCAGCAGCAGCATCATCATCATGACCGAATGATCTGTTGCACTCCCACCTCGTTCTCCCCCTCTCCTTGGCACTCCGGGTAATGTACTCCTTGCAGGCTATTTGTTTCTGGCAGGTGGACCCCCCCCCCCCACCACTCATGCGATCCCTGTCTTCCCTCTCAGAAACCTGCGTGCCGCCCTTCCTCTTATCAGGCGGCCCCCTAGGTCACTCAGGCCAGAGCGGTCCCATCTGTGGTGGTGCTCGAAAACTGGGGGGGGCGGGAGGGGGACCCTAAGCAACAAATTATTATGCCCCCCACCCCCCAATCTCTTACAATTATAACCTCCAAGTGAGATGACAGCAGATGTAGCTCGATTAAGTGAAGGATCCGGGTTGAGACGGTGTGCAGTGAGATAGAGCTTTAACTGGCTTTTTGCTCTGTTTATTAGGATATGCATGCAAGCCGATAATGTGGCGCACGTGCCCCCCCCTTGAGTTGCTTGGGCTGAGTCTGCGTGCGCCCCCACCGCCTCCGCTACCCCCTTGGGCGGCCGTGCGGCGAGCGCGGCTGCCATTTACAGAGCGTACTGACCCTAAAACGTAACTTTGGTTTACTTTTTTTTTAGGCGAAGCAACGAACCCGCTGCCCGCAGCGATGGGGCAGAAGCGCGAACAGGGGGAGGGGGGACGCCGAGACTTCACGGCAATAAACGCCCCTTTTCCACTGGCACATCAGAGGCGGGGAGTGCCCTAGGGGTAATCGGAGGTTTTTCCCATTGGTTATATTTCAAAGCCGAGCCAGACCCTCGTGCCTGTGATACGCCGACCCCGCAAGACGTCTTAATCCGGCTTCGGGGCCAAGCAGGGCCAGAGGTGGCACTAACAATGGGTTAATTGTGCGTCTGATGTCCATCGCCATTCATCGACGGTGGAAGGTCAGGGTTCACATTGTACCCCCCTCCACCCGCCCTGGCAGAAAAGGTCGGGCACCCAGGATTGAAGCATCAACTTCAGCGGTGGGGGAGGGGGTGGGGTTGCCCTGGGGTGGAGCAACCCAGAAAATATTACCCCAACGCGGCACACCACATCCAGTATACCTCGCTATGGCCGTGGCTTACTACGAATACATATGCCACCTACTCTCTAGTCTTACAAGCGATTCCCGAAAAACGTTCGAGAGAGGAATCTGGTGGCCGAGCACATTGCCGTGACCGAACAGGGGTGTTGGGGAGTTAAGGGTATCGCGATTGTCCAGTGAAACACCCCCCCCCCCCCCCACCACCACCACAACCCCTCCCTTCACAGCTTAAGCGCGCGTTGTTATAGTGGGCAAGGGTCCGTGAACGTCGTGCCACGCGAATCGCGTAGACATGCGGGCGAGTGCAGCAGAGTTAAATGTGGATGGGTGCCGGCCACTGGCGTGAAAACTGGTTGCCGCTTCTAAATAATCGTCGTCGTCGTCGTTTCATGAAGGCAATCTTGATGAAGTTCAGGAATCTGGGCTTCTTTGCTGCTGCCACCACCGAGGTTTGCCCTGCTGCGGTTTATTTGTGTTGCATTTTCATCCGCGCGTAGATTTGAACCACGCGGCGGTGGGAGGGTTTGCCAGGTTACGCGGACCAAAAATCCAAACAATATTTACAGGTGCAGTTCTGTCGCAGGGAAAGCCGCAGGGAGAATCCAGGTCCCGGCAACGCTAAAAATCTGAAGCCCGAGACTCTTTACAAGGCAACGGAGAAGCCCTTGAACACACGGCAAGCGAGCGCTGCTCACCACCATCCTCCTAACGCAACGGCGACATAAAAAAAAGAGTCCGTCGTAACGACTCTGGGAAATCGCCGAAGCCGGCAAAGTCTGGCGGACTGAACGCGGCCCCCGCACGCAGACGGAGGCCATGGGTGTTGTGCTGCAGACGGCGCTCCTGCGTGACGAGCTGCCGCCTTAGGGGCGGGGGGGGGGGGGGGAGGTTGGGGGGATGGCTTTAGCTTTTTCAGGGTCCACAAACATCCGCTCATCAGGGCGACGGAGACACGGCGAGTGCGACCCTTGGCTCCGTCCGCCCGCCCTCTCGCTGCAACGCCTCCACGCCGGGCATCTCCTCCACGCTGGCACCGCGCGCCGGCCCCGTCAGCCGCGCGGGTTATTGTCGCGGATGCTGTCGATGCGCAACAGGAGGTCGCGGAAGCCGGGCCGCTGCGGTGGCTCCGTGTGCCAGCAGTCGAGCATGATGCGGTACACCTGGCGGGGTGAGGATGTGCACGCACGCACGCTTCATCAGACAACGCGCTCTCACATCGGCAGAAGAACCCAACAGTGGTCGGAAAAGCACGAGTCGGGTGGACCCTTTTTTTTCCCCCCCCCCCCCCCACCAACACGTCCAAGCCGAGCCAGCGTGGGGCCCTCATGGCAGGAGTGGGTTTTCACTGCCTGGAACCGAAAAGGTGCGCTACAGCTGTCTCGCAAAAAGGACATCTGGCTCGGGGCCAAGCAGGGCCAAGGAGGTAATGACGTATGTAGGTAATATTGAACTTCTTTCGCAACGTGCTTGGCCAAACATGCTAATCGGAGGTGCAGGGGCGGGACAACAAACTATGTATGTTGAACTTCTCTGGTTTATTGCGCGCGACGCAGGTCAGAGGAGCAGGCCCCACGTGAGTGGGCAAAGTGCTAAACAACAGAACGATGGCGACCGATGATCAAGGCAACAATCCCCAACGCCGTCGTGGCGATCGTCTGTGCGTGCCTGAGACAGAGGCGAGGGGGAGCGGAGGCAGATGGAAGAATGAGGGCGGCCAACACAAACCCCCCAAGCGGTGTCGTGTTAAGGGGGAGGGGGCGGGCAAATGTGGAAAATACCTTTGGACATTTGCGGTGGGATGCCCAGCTGAAAACACAACCTGCTGTCTCGCTGGATTTATTGCCTCTGGCTTAGACGCGCGCGCTACCTGATACATGGTTGGGCACTGATCGAGTGGAACGTGACCTTTTCGACCCAAGCGCCATTCTCGCACGGCCCCCAAACAAATTGATCCACCGCTGGATTGCCATCTCTCACGGTCCCAGGATTGCAATAATCTACCTGTCGCCGGATGCGATCCCTGATGCGTGCCCCTCCTTCGGCCGCCACTCGGTGGCCAGTGTTGACCGCCGGGCACTGAGCCCTTCTCACCACTGGTCCTGCCTGAGCCCGCTCAATTTTCCTAACAGTCGGCAGCAACATCTATGGGATCTATGGGACCTTTTTTTTTGTTTTGCCAGTTGGCGTGTTCTACCCGTGGCCGCGTGGATTTTTCTCCGGGTCCTCCGTTTAGTGGATATGGCTGCTATAAATTTCCACGCGACAAGCCACTTTTTGTCGTGCGATCATTTGTGGCCAGGTCGCTTCTGAAAAAGAGCTACACAGCTCAGTGGGCCTTACCCGGTAAAATAGTTTACAGCTTCGGAGTTTAATAAATGCGAGGAACGTTTCCGCGGAACACGAACGCCCCCTTGCGGGCGTGCGGGCGTGTGTGCGCACGTGCGTCCGGAGGGTCGCTCACCTCCTCGGGGCACTCGGCCGGCCGGGGAAGCCGCTGCCCGTTCTTGAGCAGCTCGATGAGCAACACGACGGCCATCTGGCCCTGCTTGGCGCCACCCATCATCCGCATGAACTCCTGCGAGCGAACAAAGACAAACACAGAGGCCCCCACACACCCCCCCCCCGTGGTGTAGCCTTTAACAGACTGTTGGGACAAGCGCTGCGAGCGACCAGCACCGACACCACGCCTGGCCTGCCTCCCTTGTGACAATGTGTACACGCCGCACGTGGTACTCGTAAGGATGCGTCGAGCTAGAGAGGAGGCCCAGGGCCGGCTCCAGATGTTCGTCACTGGTGATAGGGAATCGAACTCGGGTCACCGCCTCTGTAGCACGGTGCAGTAAACTACAACGCTACCACTCCCTGCCCCTCCTCCTCCTCCTCCCCCGTGTGAGAGCGAGCACCGCCATCAAATTCCAACCGACGCACAACGGGGGGGGGGGGGGGGGGGGGGGGGGGCTGAAAGTCCAAACGATCGCCTGAGCGTTCTGGCAGCACAGACAATGTGCCAAGTGTTGTTCTCAGAGTCCATGAACCACATTTATTGCCCTTGCTTTACTTTGCCATCATCATCATGACGACGTCTATCTGCGATCGTGACTGATCCTTTTGAAGTGTTTGGGGGGGGGGGGGGGCAACAGAAGTCGAGGGAGAGCGAGCGCTGGGAATCGTCTCCCAACCATGGCATGCCCCAGAATGCCCTCCGTGCCCCCCCCCCCCACACACACACCCCTACACACACACACACACACCCCCCCCCCCACACACACACACCCCTACACACACACACACACCCCCCCCACACACACACACCCCTATACACACACACACACACCCCCCACACACACACACACATATACACCCCCCCTGACACACGCATACACATTATACCCCCCCCACACACACACACGCACCCCCCATAGGCACCCCCCCATATACCCCCCCTCCACCCCCCACACACACGCACCCCCCACCCACCCCCCCCCCCCACACACACCCCCCCCCCACACACACCCCCCCCCCACACACACCACCCCCCCACCCACACCACACCAACCACACACACCACACACACCACCCCCCCCCCACACACACACCCCCCCCCCCACACACACACCACACCCCCACACACACACCACCCCCCCACACACACACCCCCCCCCCACACACACACCACCCCCCCACACACACACCACCCCCCCACACACACACCACCCCCCCACACACCCCCCACCCCACACACACACCCCCCCCCCACCCCCCAGGCTCTAGGGGGTGAGGTGGTGAGGGAGTAGATGGTGAGGCTCTAGGGGGTGAGGTGGTGAGGGAGTAGGTGGTGAGGGAGTAGATGGTGAGGCTCTAGGGGGTGAGGTGGTGAGGCAGTAGATGGTGAGGCTCTAGGGAGTAGGTGGTGAGGAAGTAGATGGTGAGGCTCTAGGGAGTAGGTGGTGACGGAGTAGGTGGTGAGGGAGTAGATGGTGAGGCTCTAGGGAGTAGGTGGTGAGGCTCTAGGGAGTAGGTGGTGAGGGAGTAGATGGTGAGGCTCTAGGGAGTAGGTGGTGAGGCTCTAGGGAGTAGGTGGTGAGGGAGTAGATGGTGAGGCTCTAGGGAGTAGGTGGTGAGGGAGTAGGTGGTGAGGGAGTAGATGGTGAGGCTCTAGGGAGTAGGTGGTGAGGGAGTAGGTGGTGAGGGAGTAGATGGTGAGGCTCTAGGGGGTGAGGTGGTGAGGGAGTAGGTGGTGAGGGAGTAGATGGTGAGGCTCTAGGGAGTAGGTGGTGAGGGAGTAGATGGTGAGGCTCTAGGGGGTGAGGTGGTGAGGGAGTAGATGGTGAGGCTCTAGGGGGTGAGGTGGTGAGGCAGTAGATGGTGAGGCTCTAGGGAGTAGGTGGTGAGGAAGTAGATGGTGAGGCTCTAGGGAGTAGGTGGTGACGGAGTAGGTGGTGAGGGAGTAGGTGGTGAGGCTCTAGGGAGTAGGTGGTGAGGCTCTAGGGAGTAGGTGGTGAGGGAGTAGATGGTGAGGCTCTAGGGGGTGAGGTGGTGAGGGAGTAGGTGGTGAGGTTGTAGGTGGTGAGGTTCTAGGTGGTGAGGCCCCACCTGCGGTGGGCTCTTGTTCTTGTCGCTGTAGGTGAAGAGCTCGTAGAGGACGACGCCGAAGCTCCACACGTCGGACGCCGCCAGGAACTTGCTCTCAATCAGCGACTCGAGCGCGTACCTAGGGGGGCGGGGGGGGGGGAGTTTAGCGTCACCATCGGCCGTGATTTATCCACTGCTGGAGGAAGGCCCTCCCCAAACCACTGCCGGCTCAGATAGAGCCCGTTGCCAGAACCGCTGCTCGTGGGTGGACTTCTCCCCGCCGCCGACGATTACCATCGCCGCACTCGGAGGGGGGGCCGTGGGGGGGCGGGGGGGTGGGCGATGTCTCACCAGAAGATGGGGCTCTCCCCGGGCTGCTGGACCTTGTAGTATTCCTTGCCCTGTGGGATGACCTTGGCGAGGCCGAAGTCGCCGATCTTCACCTGCGTGTGACTCTGCACCAGGATGTTGCGCGTCGCCAGGTCCCGGTGGACGCAGCGCCTGGTTGTCAGGTAGTCCATGCCCTGGGGGTGGGGGGTGGGCGGGCGGTGTTAGACGTCAAAACTCATGGCTTGTTTTGTTTGCCGAGTTTAGCGGTGGACTCGGACCTCGAGAGAGAGACCAGGTCAGTCTCGTTTACGAGCGTGACCTGGGTCAAGAAAACGATAAAAGCTGAAAAAAAAAGAAAAATCAACAATGGAGCGAGCAGTAATCCGAGTTAATAACGACCACGTAACGCTCTACCAATTATTTATTTAGAGCGTTTGGTTTTTAGCGTGCGGTAGGACGCTCGAGTGCCCACACAAAACCCACGCTTCAGCGAATAAGGAAAGAAAACAAAAACTCGGCATGCGAACGGGTAAGCAACACATTTCCTGTACTGCCTTCTGTGGCGAGATCTCAAGTGTAAGGTTACAGGCCGCGATTCATGTAGCGACGGACGTTCACTTTTGCCCGACCATTGGCAAAAGCTTGTCCTGTCAGGCGCGTTGTCCAAAGGATCGCTTCTTTAAAAGCCGCACACCAACAAAGTTGTTCGTCCTTGCCCTGCACCTCCGATTAGCGCTGTTGGCTACACCAGGCCTAGCACGAGCAGCACGGCGACGTCACTGGTCACCAAGGGAGCGTCATCGTTGTTTGTGTGCGTGTGTGCGTGTCCGTTACCTTGGCGATCTGCGAGGCGAACATGAGCAGGCACTTCTGGTCGGTCTTCTCGCGGTAGTGAAGCAGGTAGTCGCGCAGGCATCCGAACGGCAGGTACTCCATCACCAGCTTGAGGCTGCGCCCACCTGCGCAGAGCGGGACACGCGGGTGCCGTTGGGGCGGGCGCCACGAGGGAGGGCGGCGGCCTCCGTCGCAGTTGGCAGCGCGCAACCCGCTGCTCTCCCACACGGCTGACTGGCCCCACACGGCAAAGCGGGCTGGACGACCCAGAAGGAGCACCGCGCTACCTGCTCTCCGTGGGACACTCTTTCCTGACCGACATTTGCCTTTGGTGCCGCTGCGCGGCGAGTATGGAGCCCGCCTCTTGAGGAGTATTTTACCCCCTGCCCCGCCCCACCCCTCTCTGTTGCGTGGCACCTGTGGGCCCCCCTCCGCCCCTGGTCGCCAGCAACAGTTGCACCGCTTGCACACTCGGCTGAAGAGTGAACTCTTTTAATCAGCCATCGTTTTGGCTCTGTGAGCAGCCACGGCCGTGTTCTTGATTGCAAGGCCCCATGGGGCCACTGAGCGGCCCCCAAGTGACCTTCAGTGTGCCACCCCCCCCCCCCTCCGACACACAAATGTAAAAACATCCCCCCCCTCCCCATTATCGGCGTGCTGCTGTCAAACCCCAATGGTTTGAAATGTGTGGTGGCCCTCGCACTGCTGATGTCTTGTCGGTGAAAGTGGGGCCCCCCCCCCAACCTCCCCCTCTGAGAATCCTGCACCGCGGGGTCAGTCACGATCATGCCAACCACGTTACGCCTGACCCACTGGCATAACGTGGTTGACATGGGCCTCTCCCCGCACTGATCCCCCGCTCCCCCCCCCCCCCTTTTCCGACTTCCCCCCCCCCTCTTCATTGCCCAGTGGGGGGGGGCGGGGGGGGCAAGTGGCGGTGCAGTTGCACCGCCTGCGCACTCGACAGCTCTGCCCGCTCGGCGCTCACCGGTCCCGCGGCAAACGCCGAGGTACTTGACGATGTTCTCGTGGTGCAGGGACTTGAGGATCTCGATCTCCTTCTCGAAGTCGGCGTTCGACTGCTCCGGGTTGCCCTGCAACTTCTTGACGGCGACCGTGTCGCCCGTGTCGTCTCCCAGGCGGTCGTAGCGGCACAGCTCCACCGTCCCGAAGTTCCCCTTCAAGAGGAGGCGGGGGGGATGCAACGATTTAAAAAAAGTTCCGCACAGTGCTAGCCGCAAATGAGTCACCGATAACCAACTCCGGTCACCCTTGCAGCAGCGGCCTTTGGCTGGCCATCGAACAAAGACGGTCGTCCACGTCGCGCGCTTTCGGATGCGCTTCTGTGGCCGTCTGGAATGCTCTTCCGAAATTAGGAAGCCACTGGAGCTTACGCACTTTTAAATCTATATTGACGACTCATTTCTTTAAAACTGCTTTGTGTTTTAGTTTGTTGTCCTTCCCCAGCACCTCCGATTAGCAACGGTTGGCTACATTCGTGCGAAAGAAGTTCAACGTACAAACAGATAGGTTCAAGAAGCTGTTGCTGTACTGTGGCAGTCTCGTGGCCATTTTGTAGCCCAGGTCCACAAGCACCACTCGGTTGCCTTTCTGCGTGGAGTTGGTGTGTTCGCCCCCCCTGTACCGCAGGGAGCGAACACACATGACAGCCAAACCAATATACTCCCAGAGCTAAAAACACAGGACAGCCGCTGGTGTTGGCCAAACATCCCAACGCGGCATCACTCGTGACGCTGACGGCGCGGCGGGAGTAAAATTGTGGCCAACTAACAAACACATTTGCACCGTATTAATCATACGTATGGGGTGTGTATCGCGTGGGTATTGTGCGTACGCATTGCACCGTGCGTATCGCATGCGTACCGCTCCCAGGATGCGTATGAACTTCAGGTAGCGATCTTCGAACGTGTTCTGGTCCTGCAGGCCGGTCCACGCCGGGTAGGGAATCACCGGCTCCTCCGGCTTACGATCGTCCTGCAGGGGCAGCACCTCGTACCCTGGCACACGGAGATCGCGCGGAGACACGGGCATCGTCAAGCCACCCTTGCGCCCGAGCCATCGCTTGCGGGCGGGCGGGCGACCAAATCGCGCAACTCGGATCGTCGCCCGCGACTGCTTTGCCCGCCGTTTTGAAGACCCATAGACATTCGTCGCCCGACGGGTTGAATAAACTGGGGTTCTCAAGTGCAGTGCAGGTGACGCTCCTAGTCAAGTCACCAGTCACTCGCATCGACCCCCACGGATTCGATCAGACCGAGTTGGGAATAGAGCACGTTAAGCACATTCGGTTTGGCAATTCACTTTTGCGAGATTCCAATTCTGAGATTTAAAAAATATATTGGTTTGGCTGTCATGTGACGAACATTACTCTCGTATGTTAGGGTGGGTAGCCGATTGCTACCCCCCCCCCACCCATACTGCGTCGACTTGAGCTCATTTGAAGGGATCTCGGCAGTAGCTCTGCAATGTCCACTTCCGTGCCCTCCGAAGGGTCGTACTGCTCCGCGAGATTTCCAAGTGCATTCATCATCTCGTGACGACGGAATACGGATCGCGCGATCGCACGACCGGGAGAAAACCGCGGGGGGGGGGGGGGGGAATCGGCCCCCGCACCGCGCTCACCTGAGTTGATGAGGCTGTTGAGCTCCCGCACGACCGCACGGAAGGACGGACGCATCTCGGGGTCATAGTTCATGCACCTGCTGATCAACTCGGCCAGCTCGGGCCACGACAGCTTCCCCAGCTGCTGCCGCCGCGCGTAGAAGTTCACCTTCTGCTCGCGCCGCACGGGGACAGATCGCTCGCATGTTGAGCAGGGGCTGAGCCTGGCTCATACTCGCAATACGAAGAGCGCCTTGTGTGCAGCAGGGTGATTGTGCGCGTGGGCTGCGAGGAAGCCATGGAGATGGCAGTGTGTAGAGATGGATTCTCAAATCCATCTGTTGTGGGGCACGGCCGGTTTTCTCCGGGTGCTCCGGTTTCCCCCCACGCGCGTCGGTGTCTGCATGCGCGTGCGAGCGTGGTGATGCAGCGGTTCGCGCGCTGCGCTCGGAACCTCCTCACCAGAGTTTCATCTCCCTCCAACGCCTCGCGCTGTGCGCCGTGCTGCCCCGTAGCAGCCGCTGCCTAGCGGCGCGGTCTGGATATAGCCTGCATGGGAGGTGCTTGCGCCCCCTTTTTCCACTGCACGACCGAGATGCGCCAGGCGCCGAGCCAGCCCGAAGTGGCTCAGGAGGCGCCCCCCGCTTGTTTTTCCACCGCGGAACACGAGCCGTGCCACCGATGAGACGCCACCGCAAGGCCGGTTTGACAACAAAAAAACCCATACTTGCGACGGGCCCCCCCACCCCCCGCCCCAGCCCGCTGGCCAAGCACAGACACGGCGCTCGCACCGGTGCCGCGTGGACAGGACGCGCTCACCTCCTCGCGCGTCAAATTGTGCAGCGGGCGCTCCCCCTGCATGCAGATCTCCCACAGCGTGGCGCCGTAGCCCCACTTGTCGGCCAACAGGCTCAGCCTCCGCGGGTCCTCCAGGCACTCGGGCGGCAGGAAGGGGATGCGCTCCTCGCGGTCTGCCAGAGGCACGGCAACAAAACGCGCGGGGGGCTCGATCTCGCGCCGGGGGTGCACACGCGCGACGCGACGTGACACCGTGCCTTGCCGACCCCCCCCGCCCACCCACCTCCCCCCATTTCTCTTCCATCCTCGGGGATGCGATGCTGATCACCGCCCCGTCGGAAGAGACTTGGGCAAAAAACCAAGGATTTAAAACGTTCGTGGCTGCAGGAATTCATATTCTTTGGTTCTTTCGGTAAAGTCACGTAGATAGCAAACATCATTTTCCTGACGACGACCGCAATTGTGTTGCGATCGAAACGTCGTGGGGGTTTTTTTTAAGCTTTTATTATTTATTATTTTTTCTATCTACTTAGACTTTACCGAAAGAACCAAAAAATAAGCCAAGGAGAGAGCGGAGAGCGGCGAGGCTTGCAGATTAATGCAGAGCCCCCCCCCTCTCCCCCGCCGCTAATGCGGCCGCCTACGTTTGTGGGCATCGGTGGCGCAACACTTTCACGTCGCCGTCACGTTCATGGCGAGGGAGAGCGGTGGAAGGAAAAATAAAACGCGCGTTTACGAGCCGGAAACAAGCCTGCGATTTTTTTTGTGTGTGTGTGGGTGGCGGCGCCAAACGCGAGGCCGCTCGCGGCACCGGGCCGGGTCGCGCCGGCACGGCACAGCTCACGCGTTCGATACCCGCAGGGTGGCGTGCGTCTAAACTGAAACTATATTGCCAGATAAGGCCCACCGAGCTACATTGCTCTGTTTCCGACGTGACCTGGCCACAAACGATAAGCTAGACGAAGCGGCTCATCATGTGGAAATGTACTGCAGCCAAATACTCCAAAGGCGTCGAGCCCATGATCTCCTGTATACCGGGCGAGGTAGTTAACATCTTGCCACCGGCATGCTCCACACGCACGTGACCGCAGCATGCGACGGGCCCCCACCCCCCTATTCGAGGTCGTCGTTATCGTTCTCAAACCACGCCTTCCACACGTGTACATCGTTTGTGGCGATCGCAGGAGTTGTCGTCTGTCGGTCTGCCTGTGACGCAAACAGGTTGGTAATTTGTGCGCTAAGTTCGTGCTGCAAGGGCCAAGCTTGCCCGCTGCCCGCAACCCCCACCTCACCACCGTCTGTAACCTCTGCCCAGCACCCGGCTTCTGCCTCGTGCCCACGTCTGGCAACACTAGCCAGGACATTGGCAGGGCTGGGACCGTGCCCGCTTGCCCATCAAGGCCTCCTGTCGCCACCGGATTACAGGCGGCCGGGGCCAGTCAAAGGTGTCCGCGTGACTCATTGGTCAGAGACGCTGAGCCGGCACTTGTGAGATCCTCGATTTAGCCGCTGCGCTATTAAACTCGGTTCTCGAGTGTAGCGAGTTGATGGCCTTGGCTCGGTCACAGTGGCTTACATCGACTTACGTGCAACGGACACTTATCTGGACACGTAACGGGCATGGTGCCGCAAAGTGAGGAAAACGAGGCCTGTTAAATAGGCTTCAGAAGCAGTTCCGTGACATCGCCGTCCGGGGCTGTTCTCGGACACTGGGCTTCCCCGTCACTTGATTTGGATTATTTGCAGCTCTCGCGCAATTGGCAGCTCGAAGGACGGTGGCCACCCTGGTAAACACTGCGGGCACGTTGCCGTGGCCGTCAACGAGACGAGTGACGTCGCTGGACAAACGGTCGGCTGCGCGCCAGCGTCACGGCCCAAATTTGAGCAAATTTGAAAACTACTCGCAAATATACTCGTTTCGTTTAAGCAACGCAAGCAACATCGGCTCCCCCTCCCGTGCAACTACGGGGAGACTGTGAAACGTAGCGACCTTCCCATTATATTAGCCTCGTGCGAACGCCGGAGTGACTGTCGGCGTGACGGCAACGCCGTGACCCCGGGGGGGGGGGGGGGGGGGCGGCTCCGTGACGGCGAGCACTTGCCTTCCTGCGACAGCGCCGTGATGCTGACTCCCGGGTCGCTGAGCTTGATGAACGGCTGCGTGTGGTCCCGGGCGTTGCCTTCCCTGGTGAGCAGCACGTTCTTGGAGCACACGTTCCCGTGCACCATGCCCTTGTCCTCCTGCTCGCCGATGGCGGTGACGAGAGGGAGAGAGAGCGCGGGGGGGGGGGGGTTTCCAAAGGTGAGGGCGTTACTACTGCCACCACCGCCGCCACCGCCACAGCCGCCACAGCCGCCACAGCCGGTGAACATCACTGGGTGACGTCAACGATCAAGCGAAGCCTCTCCCCGTTGTGCGTTCTGGTTATCGTAGGAGTCAAGTCAACGGGATTTCCGGCGCAATCGCACGTCGAGGCATTGTTTTTCTAGTCTCCCGTTTACAGCCCTGCAGGGACCAGTGGTAGAGATTCCACGAAACTATGACGGGGACGAGTCTCCCCGCGCGACAACCGCCATTGACTTCCGCGCGAACTGTTGCCTATTTTATCGTGACGTTATCATTTGGCAAACATAAACCCGATGGTTAATTTACGTTTATAGTGATTTGTTTAACACTTTAGCAGCTTCCAATCCACGGCGTTGTTTGGACTAAGTTTTGAGTAATTGAGCATGCCTGATTAAAATTGATGGCGGGGGGGGGGGGGCGCCTTTATTTTTTAAAAACACGCAAGATCCCATTCGAGACCTCGGGTGTCTCTTTCACAACCGAGGTCTGGGTTTAACCAAGTACAGGAAAAACAGCTGAGCTGTACAGAGGCTGACATTGAGGTGCACACACCACAAAAAGAGAAAGACAAAGATCCCCCATATATCCTAAACAGACTGTAGGGGCAAGTGCTGTTAGCGAGCACTTAAAAAGGCCAGCACGGTGGCCAACACCACGCCCGGCCAACTTTGTCTCCCTAGCCACGATGTTTACACATCGCACCAGGTACTCATTTGAGGCCCAGTCGACCTAGGGGAGGCCCAGGACCTGTTCAGATAATCGTCACTGGGTGTTTGCCGTGCGCGGGAATCGAACCCGGGTCGCCAGGTTCGTAGTGCAGCACGCTAACCGCTACACTACCGCTCCCCACACACGCAGACACACGCACAGTGACACACCAACGCACACACCAACACATGCAACCGCAGACCAAACCACTTGCAGCGACACCGAAAGGTGAAGGCGCAGGCCTGCAATTACTCGCTCACGCCACTGCTGGCAAGGAGGTGTCTCCGACTTCAGGAACAACTTAACCGTCTCCAACACGAGGCCTACTCGTCGCGCTGACCCAGACACTGAAGCGCCCACACTTTACCCCACCACTCGAGACAGTGGGGGATGATTTAAGAAAACTCGCCCACTGCTTTAACTGCGACGCCGGGAGAGAAAACACCCGGCGAGCTCTGAGCAAGCATTTAAACCGTGGAAGCATCTTCTTGACCTTTTGTCCCCTACATTAACATTAGCTGCCCCGCCCATGCTGCTGACACTTGGGCTACGCCCATCTTTAAACCTCTAGAAACAGTTTGCCTTGGAGAGGCTAACCCCCCCTTTTCCTGATGACGACCGCTTTTTGTGTTGCGATCGAAACGTCGTCGTTTTTTATTTACTTTGAACCTATCTACGTGACTTTACCGAAAGACCCAAAGAATAAGCATCTTCTTGTTTGCATTTAAAAGTTATTTAAAGTCAAGCTTTTTATGTTTTACTTGCAGTTTTTAACGTTTTTACCCCCACATTTTGTTTGTGTGTTTTGGAATTGTATTTGCTGTAATATATATATCACGAGTAAATATGTATTGTTTATTAAAACATTTTGCTGACTTCATTTCCTTATCGATGACCTTTTTTGCTCTCGACCATATCTCGGTGGGCCCTTGCCCTGCCCATGAAGCTCACCGAGCTCATCTGCGTTCGTCCCTTGAGCCTCCACACGGCAGTCCACAGGACTCTGTGGCAGCCTCCGGGTCTCCCAAGTCAGCCTGCGGGGGGGTCTCTCTCTTTGCCGAGTCCGCAAACACAGGGCGGCCAGCGCTGTAACGATGCGACATCGACCCTGGGCCCTGATGGTGGCCGTACTGTCGGGCTCATCCCCCCCCCCACCCTCCGCCACGCCCCGAGTGATGTAATTTATTGTCGTCAGCGTCTGGGTTATTTGGCGGTCGGAGCTCTCGCCGCCTGGCAGGTTGTACCATAGCGGGTCAACGATTCATTTTCCCGCGCCATCTGTTGCTCTCCGTCGGCGGGTAGTTGGCGGGGCCTGGGGACGGCCACGTGGGTCGGCGTCGCGGGGGGGGGGGGCGGAGGGGGAGGCCGCCATCGCTGCCCGCAGCCGTCGTGGCCGCAGCGGCAGGGACACGTCGCGCAAAATGAATTGTGGAGAATAATTATAATTATTATGAGTAATCATTATTATTGCTGTTGTTGTTTATTTATGCAGGAACGTCACAAAGGATCGTATGACTCTTTTTTCCAGGAAGGTGCTGCATTGGGTTTTTATTTTAAAATAGTTTCAGCCAATTAATGACGAGTTGTGTTTTTTTATACAATTGTGGAAACTGGAAAACCCGGAGAAACCCCCCAAGCCTTGCACAGGGTGGGCGGGGGGGGGGGCAACGCTCTATCCCCGTACAGATGGAATAAACAGATAGCGACGAGTCCACTTGCTGTGCTGCCTTCTCCTGGTGATCCACCAACCCCCGCTGCTGCCTTCACAGTGCTGAATTACAGGCAGCAGCCACCACCACCAACGCACGGAGATTTGATTTTTTTTCGGACCTTCCGATTACTCAGGCCTCCCCGCAGAGAAGAGGTCACTGAACCCAAGTCAGTTTGTGCCGGATTGAATAAAAGATGATGTATGGGCGCGCGCGCATGTGCGTGTGTGCGTGTGTGCGTGGGGAGCGATAGTGTAGCGGTTAGCGCGCTGCGCTATGAACCTGGCGACCCGGGTTCGATTCCCGCTCACGGCCAACACCAGTGACGATTATCTGAACCGGTCCCGGGCCTCCCCTAGGTCGACTCAGCCTCAAATGAGTACCTGGTGCGGTGTGTAAACATTGCCACTAGGGAGACAAAGGCGGTCGGGCGTGGTGCTGGCCACCCACCCCCTCGTGTACCGTTCCGGCCTTCATAGGTGCTCGCTAACAGCACTTGCCCCTACAGTCTGTTAAGGCTATATGGGGGATCTTTATCTTTGTGTGTGCGTGTGTGCGTGTGTGCGTGTGTGCGTGTGTGCGTGTGCACGTACGTGTGTGCGGTAGAGAGTAACGGTCGGCGCGCCACGAAATCGGCAACCTGAGTTCGATTCCCCACTCGCGAGCCAAACGCATCAATGTCGATTATCCGAACCGGTCCTGAGCCTCCCCTAGGTCAACTCAGCCTTAAATAAGTACCTGATGGGGGTGTATAAAACATCACCACTGTGGAGGCTAAGGTGGGCCCGGGTGTGGTGCTGGCCACATGGCCACCTCGTGTGCCGTGCCGGCCTAAATAAATGTCCGCAAACAGCCCCGACAGTCCGTACTGCATTATGATACGGGGGGGGGGGGGGGACATTTGCATGTACGTATGTACGCGCGCCGCATCTCACCAGGAAGCTCATGGCGCAAGCGAGCTGCTTGGCGACCTGCAACCGCCAGCTGAGCGCTAGCGCGGACTGGCGGTGGCGCTGCAGGTAGGTGTCCAGCGAGCCGAAGCGCACCTTCTCCAGCACCATGACATCTGCGAGTAGCGAGCGACGGACGGCACACACACTCTCTCCGTCACGCGCCGTTCCCCCCGCGGCTAGCCGCCCCCCCCCCCCCCCCCCCCCCCCCCGGTACGAACGCCGTCGCCTCTCTCCGAGTCCACGCGCGGCCCCCGAAGGCCCGACCCCGATGGAGTCTGGCCAGGCTTTCCACAGTTGCTTGCCAGGCTCCGATTTCCAACTGCCCTCTCGGGCCGAATGTCAACAACAACAACGCCAGGCAGACTTCTTAGAACGTGGGAAAGTGCTTTTTTCCGTACTTTAGAAGCCAGAGAATGTATCAAGGACACATTCCTGAAGGTTACACCATGCACAAACAGTCAATACTGTGCAGGGCGGATATGCGACAGTCGATTATGTGACATTGTACTGCACAACATTCCTCGCCCCACCCCCAACCTCTCCTTTCAATGCCCCCACAAACCCTTTCCACCTCACACTGTGCCCTTTCCTGTTGGGATTGTTGCCGCGTTGAACTATTTCCTTTCCGGTTTTTATTTTTTATATTAACCATACGTACGAGCGAGCGAACGGCTGAGCCCAACACTCAAGAGTCACGCTGTCAGCATCCGCCCCGCGAACTTCGACCTTCCAGTTCCAAGCGAGCACGAACTTAAAGCTGGCGACGGTCGGCGGCCGGCGTGGAGGAGGACGGACGAAGGAGAGGGAGGCTCGCTGCGTCGTCGAGTTTGGCAACGCTCGTTCATCGCTAATCGCTCACTCCCCGGCCACGAGGGTTCGTTCGAAGTCCGGCGTGAAGCCGTCGTGCTTGCTCTAAAGCGTGACTGATATGCGGTGCTGCAGACTGCCCGCGGCACCGCCAGTGGACAATTTCGATAGGAAGGAGGCAAAAGAGGACAAGGCGGGGTGGGAGGGGGGGCGGGAAATGTGCCTGTGCGTGACACGTCCGTGCGTGAGCGAATTTACGGGCGTGTGAACTCAGGGCGGCGCGTGCGCGCGCGTGTCTGTGCGTCTGTCGTTGCGTCCGAGCGAGTGAATGGGTGCGGCGCTCAACAAACATTCCCAATCGTCTGCAGAGCAGTTAAAGGGGAAGGCTATATGGGCGATCTTTGTCTCTGTTTGCACGTGAGTGTACACATGCGTCGTCATCGGGAGCGGCGGGCGGCACAGTGGCGAGCCGGTTCTGAAGCCGGTGATGCGAGTTCGATTCCCGCTCGCAGCCCGTGACGAACAATGTACGAAACTGTCCTGGGGGCCTCGCCTCGGTTAAAGCAGCCTCAAATGAGCACCTGATGGTGTGTGTAAACATCGCCACTCGGAGAGACAAAGACAGCCGGGAGTTGTGTTGGCAACCCCACTCCCTTCGTGCTCCGCGCGCCAGCCTTCATAGGTGCTCGCTAACAAGCTCCTTGCCCCGACAGCCTGTCTGTGCAGGCTGCACGGGGGATGTTCGACTTTGTGTGCTTGTATGTGTGGATGCGCGGGGTGCCGTCTGGCCATTGTGTGCGTTTGCTCGCAGCCCGTACCGTCTTCATCGAGTCAACGAGACGCGAGATTATTTTTTTTTTGTTCAGGATGTTGCCACGCCAAGATATGCCGTGGCCAATTTTTTGTTGTTACGACGACGATTTGCCGCGTGTGACGAATCCAGACCGCCCGAAGACAACCCACGCACACCCAGGAGATAACAGCCGAGGAAGTATGCCCAGATAATACATTCAATAGCAGAATACGATTTGCAACACAAGCAACCGTCATCGGGTATGAACGAATGAGAAAACAAACCTCGTAAACGTAGAAATGTTATGCAATACAACGCACAGAGTCAACATCCGACCTGATTGATTACGTTCTTCCAAAGATTGCTAAATTTTGCCTCTAGTTTACTAGGTTTGTTTTCTCATTCATTCTTACCTGATGACGATTGCTTGTGTTGCAATCGAAACGTCGTATTTTATCATTTAATTTATCTTCTTTTCTTTCTACGTTTACTTTACCCGAAAGAAACAGAGTAATTCCTGCAGTCACGAAAGCTTCAAATCAAGTTTTATGCACAGATAGTCCCACAAACGTATTTACGGTCAGCTGCTCGTCCGTCCGGCTCGGGACACTTGAAGCCGGTGCACATCCACGTTTCTCTCCATGCCCTGTCAATTTTTCCTCCAATTCACCAGACTACAGCCGTCGGAGAGGTCGCACGTGCGCACACGTACGTGTGCTGCATGACGCGGGCGCGCGCAAGCGTGTCTGTTTCCATGCGTGCGCGTCACTCACGCTCATCTCCCCGCACGCACACCCCGTGCATGTGCACCAGGTGCTTGTGAGACAGCTGGCTCATCATGCTGGCCGCCTCCAGGAACGACTGCGGACACACACGCGGGATGAGGGGTGGGGGGGGGAGGGGGGGGGTTTGCAGGTGAGTGCGGAGGGAGCCCGCAATAGCGGCGACCAAAACAAGGGGCGGAGATCGCCGCTCGCGATGAGCTGCCGTACGCGCCGGTGAAGCGGAAGCTCCAGGTACTCCACCGCCCAAACTTTAAACTGTCCCGCGACACGCTCGCGACTTTAAAAGAAGACACGCACGCACGCCTATGCGCAGGCGGCCACGGCACATTTGATCAAACGCAGTTTTGCCGGCTGTTGTATATATAGGCCTCTTTCCAAAAAATTAATACTAACAATAATTCTGCCATTTGTTTAATAATAATAATCATCGATAAATAAATAAAATAACCCTCAAACCCACAAGCACCAAGCATCTGGAGGTCGTAAAAGGCCATTAAATAATAAACTCCGAGGCAAAGGGAGGTTAACGACGACGATCTGCAGAATCTCCAGATTGCCAAAGGACCGCATGCCATGACCTGCTTGGCGCTTTGGACAGTTCACAAACAAATATCCAGAATCACAGGCACGGACACAGAGCACAGGGCAAACGGACATTATAACTGATAGATTTGTTTTTGTACGGAAAAAGTTGAAGCTTGGCTATAAGAATAAGTCGACATTATAGACTGCAGTATTCCTTATATTATTTCTTATTGTATCTTTATATCTACGTGACTTTACCAAGAGAACCAAAGTACATAAGTTTTCGTGATTGCAGGAACTCAAGTCCAAACTAAGCGATATCTCTGACCTCGAGAATAAAAAGCACGGATCCCTGGTTGCAGACAGGGAGCAAAAAGTAATAAAACCCTTGAAATACCGGAGGTAACATCTAATGGTACATTACAAATCTTGGTTAAACATAAACCAAATAATAATCACAAGAGATTAGACCTGGGGTAACTCATGAGAGGTACATGAAAATAGGTCAAACACACAAGACCAGATAAATGTATTCCATGAAATCGGAGCCTCCCCGGCCGCCTTTGTCTTCCAACAATTTGACACAAACACATGGTAGCCATAAATACGTATGGAAGGTGCGTCCCCTCCCTTAGCGGACACCACGAAGAGAGGGGTTGGGAGTGCAAACAAACATCAATTTGATGTAAAGCAGCCCGCCCGGGGTCACCAAGGGAAGAGGGGGGAGGGGGCAATCAGGGGCGGCCGCGGGGGGGAGAGCATGACGGAGTAAGCATCTGGTTTTTTCTCTCGCAAGAGACGCACAGAGGGGAGACTTTTTCAGATATAAACAGCAACACGGCACACACATTTTAAGCTCGGCAAGGGACAGCGAGACGGCAGCTCGGAAGAGGACAGCAAGCCAGCTTCGAGGCATGGCCTCGAGATCAACAATGCGTGTGGTGCATCGCGGAGAAGAGGGGCGAGGTGATGTTAGGTGCTGAGTTCGGCATGGACCGACAGAGTATCGCTGAAAGTTTAGTCGGCACTCATCCTGATGTTTTGAGTCGCTTTCAGAATCGAGGATTGCGATAAGCTGTATCGTACTAAGCTATCAGCGTTGTGTAAGAGGCGTGCAAATACAATTTTCAAGTTTTGAGAGCGAGTGATCCAGCCAGCGACGAGCAGCTCACAGCAGCAAGAGCCCTCCTGGAAGAAGGGTGAAGAGCACGAAAGTTGAGCAACGACAAAGCGCAGCCCTGAAGTAAGGGCGGGTGTCCGTGTGAAGCTGGCGGCTGCACGATCAAGGGAGAGAGCAAGAGAAATGAGAGAGAAAGAGTGCCGAGCGACGACAAGCAATCAACCTGGAGAAAGGGCGGTAAAGCACCAAGCCTCGACCAAGCCAGCATCACAGAGAACCAGCTCCACCGAGCGAGGCTGTCTGCCACCAGCGAACGAGCTGCACGCGCAATCGAGCATCGCCAGAGAGAGAGACGGTGCAGGAGAGAGAGCGCGCAGCAGTGCCACCAGCGCCACCAAGCAAGGGAGAGAGCTGCCAGCGGACAAGCGTTGTGCCGACTCGGCTCATCCAGCAGGGGAAAGAGCCTGACCGGCCGCCCGTGAGCAAGAGCGTCGGCGCCAGCGAGCGCGCCGTGGGTTCGACCCACACGCGCGCCGACCGGCACCGGCTGGGAACCAAGACAAGAGCGAGGAACTGCAGCCAGCGGATGAGCTGCGGGCGCTATCTGACGACGAATCGTCTCGCACAGATGACGAGCGTCGTGCCGACTCTTCCACCCAGCTGTGGACCGAAACTGTGGCCGCCCCCGAGCAAGAGAGAGAACGAAGCCGTTTGTATGCCCCTCCCCCGCACTCACACCCTCACGACGCATCGTCCGGCGTCTGCTTTACGCAAAGAATTAAACAAGTGGCAAAGAAGACACACAACACGCATATCGGGACAAATAAGATTGTTCCAAAAAGTAATCTTTGCGTTTCAAGAAGGGTTGCCATTCCAAGGTGGTGCGTTAAATATCAACTGATCGTGAAGAACATTGCTGCCCACTGAGTTACGTGGATACGGTCATTTAGAAGTATTTTAGTCGTTCGTTTTTTTCTTTTTAATTGCATAATCTTACCAATGAATTAATTGATAAGTACTCTTGCCTTCGGGACATGTTTCTTTATTGCCCTTCGTATGAATATCGTTGCATGAATTTTTAAGGACTTTTCCTCTCGCCGTGTATGCTCACGTACTCTTAAGAATAATCGATTGTACTGTTACCCAGTTAACAAACGTGATCATTGGTGGTTAAATGTATAGATCAATGAGGGGAACATCTCCAGGAGTACTGTGTTAACAATTCCAAGCATAAGAGTTTGCATATTACAGTGTTAAGGTATGTTTAGAAATAAAAATTGCTTAACACAGAAGTGTCTGAGTGATGCCTTCCTAAGTTCATGCATAATCATCTTAATTATAAGAACTGTATCCTGCGGTCAGATTTGAATTTGAAGACCTGATATAAACACAGTAAGACATAATCAGTAAATGTTAAAGCGAGAATAATTGTATTATACCGATCGATAATACGAACCTAGACAAGGAAGCCGAGTTAATCTGGCATACTTACATCACACCTGCATAACTTCATACAATTAATTGTCTTATCCCGATTGATAATACTACCCTCGACAACGAGGTTGAGCCTAATTATCATAACGGTGTGCATTAGCATAATCGCACACATTCACATACATTGATACGATTATCTCTCTAATTAGCATAATGTATATGCATAATTACATCAATTAACATAATTTCGGATAATTACGCAATTTTTTCAAATTTTTTGTATTTTTATTAAATTTTCAATACCCGGCATATACAACACGGCTCCTTTCAGTCCGTCTGTCCGTGCGTATCTTGGTGATGCGTAACATCACACACACGGGGGGGGGGGGGGGGAGGGGGCTATATGGTCCTCGTGAAGTGCAAATTAAGTAAAGGTGTGGCCCTGCAATTTCCTGCGAACGCCGCCACTGCCGGAAGGGCCCCCAGCGGAGGGAAAGCGCGCGAGGCTGTCGATGTGTAAACATCAGTACTGGGGAGACAAAGGTGGCCAGCCGTGGTGCTTTACAGGCAATCTTTGTCCTTGTACATACATCTACACGTATATGAAGATTACATTACATGGAGGATTGTTGGGGTCAAGTGTCTTGGCCTTTCTATACACACAGTATACACACACACGGTAAACTGTCAAAAGATACGTTTCATTATATCAATTGTTGCTGTACTTCTATGCTCCCGGCCTCCGCCAACCCACGCCGACCAGCAGCGGCGAGCAGAGCAGGGCATGGCAGGGCCACGTCTTGCATGGCGACGAGGTGATCAAAGCGAGGCGAGGTTTTTTTTTGGGGTCGCACAACGCTGGGACCCCCGCGGGTTAAGAGCGTACGACGAGATCACATCCAGCACACCTCCGACTTCAAAGTGTTTTTTGATCAAAAGCATTTCTCTCTTCAGTTGCCGAAAGACAACAGTCGCCGCCGCCGCCGCCACCGCCGCCACAACCTGCCCCAGCATGGGAGGAGGCCCTCGTCCAGCCGGGCACTTGCGCTCTCGACCGCCGTAGGTCAGTCGCCTCCTTGTAACTCTTTTATTCGCTCCTACCGTGGCCACCGTTCCCGTGGGCTTCACCCGTCGATTTCTCCACACGGTTTAGAGGACTCTGTCAACCAGACACCGACCGTTCTGTCCCATCCAACCTCGCTCAACGCGAGAAACGTGTTCCGCTCCCTTGTCGATTCCAAATGCGTCCGTGCCGTTTGTTACCGAGCCGACGCAGCGACCGTGCGTTTTAAGTCGAAGGGCGGTGGGAGGGTCACAGCTGGTAGGGGGTCAGAGGGTAGGGGGTCAGAGGGTAGTGGATCGGAGGATAGGGTGTCGAAGGGTCGAGGGTAGGCGGTGGAAGGGTGGACGGCAGGGGGTGGGAGGGTCGGAGGGTAGTGGGCCAGAGGGTAGGGGGTCAGAGAGGGTAGGGCGCCGGTGGGGGGATTGAAGAGGCACGGGAAGGAGTGAGTGTACGCCAGCGACGTCCTTCCTCCTCACCTCGGAACAGTTGCGGTGCTGGCTGCTCAGCACCTTGAGGATGACGTCGACACGGCGCAGCTCGCCGTAGTCGCTCATCTCCTTGTGCACGCCCACGTAGAGGTCGGTGAGCGTGCCGCTGCCGATGTGGCGCTCCTGCACGCGCCGGAAAAAAGAAAAGACAGACTAAGACAAAGATCCTCCGCGTATAGCCCGAGACAGACTGTTGGGGAGCAGGTGCTGTTTGGCCATGTTTTTGTTTGTTGTAGTACGGAGTTAGACTGATGGCCTTAATCTTAGTTGTCTTGTGGTTGTTGTCGTTGTTGTTGTTTGACTTGCATCCCACTGGGATTTTTGCACACAGCGTTGGTGTACGGTGCTATTTCAGGAATATTTTGATGTTTTTTTTTTCCTGGATTTTCTGTTTGCACAGTCACATAGCCACTTTAAGATGTTTTCTTGTTCGTGTTTTTGTTTGTTGCGGTTGCACCCGATTCAAGAGCCGAATGGCTCACAGGGCTATACCAACATAAATGGAACTATGAACTATGTTAACGAGCACCATGAAGGCCGGCACGGCACACGAGGGGGTGGGTGGCCAGTACCATGCCGGGGTGCCGATGTTTACACGCACGCACATACACTCAGGTACACACACAGACACGCACACAACAGGTGTACACACGGACAAACCCAGCAATCGCGCGTTACCATCGTCGTTCGTCTGTCCAAGCCCAGCCTTCGATTCTGATCGCGGGCACGTTTCAACGATCCACCCCCATCATCCATCCACGTTGACCGCCCACCCCACCCCCATCTGGATTACTCGCGTGTTTCAATTGTCCGTCTGACCATACGCGACTTCCCATTCCAAATTTTGATCGCTCGCCAATGTTGATCGTCCGTCAGTCCGCACCACCTCAATTAAAATGAAGCTCCTCCGAACGTCCCTGGCTCGGGGGGGCGGCTCGTGGAGCGCGAGGTCGGAAGCTGGCGAAGCATCGAGCCCCGGCCACTCTCTCGTGCTACTGGCAAATAGAGACTCGTTTCCCCTGGTACAAATTCTTCTAAATCCCCATGTATTTATAGCCGAGTGAAAGCCCTCCGAGACATTGCATTGCCGAGCAAGAACTGGGTCACGATGATAACCCGGGGTCGCACCGACCACCTTGCGCTGTGGTTGCCATCGCGACGGCTGGACACTCGCCTGCCTCTGTCGAAGCTACGATCACCCAGCGACTTCAATCGGTAAGCGACGTGAAAACCGCATCGCAACGGCAAAATAGCGCAGGATGGAAAGCGAATGAGCTTCAAACAACACGCGGCAGAGGCGTGTAAAACAAGCACTCTGCGCATTTTGGAGAACACCGTCAGCATTTTCTGAAGAAGTGCATTATGGTCCTCTTCTCTGAAGTCACCCAAACAGCCTATCAATTAGCACCGCTGGCTACGTACGGTGCGAAAGAAGTTCAACGTACACACGTACGTACTTACCCAGCACCATTTCTGACCGCCAGTCGCGTCACGTTTGCTCAGATTTATTTCGATGGTCACCAAACAGGATGCACTCGTTCACGAAACGCACATAGGCCGAGCGCTCCGCGACCAGGGACCCGCACGGTACCGAACGAACGGAACGACAGCGACGGGCACGAGGCCCGCGGCTGTCCTCGGCCCGAGAGGCGCCGGCGTCGTACCTGCTCCAGGTTCTCGCTCCTCACTCTGTTGAACTGCATGCGGCCGACGCTGCGTTGCATCGTGGGAGAGCTCGGCATCTCCGACGCGTCGTTGCTCCTGACGATGAGCAGGTTGGACTTTTCTGAAAGATGCCAAAATGTCGGAATCCGTCCAGGAACGCCAAGCCGGCGGCGGTAGTGTCAAGTGATAACAAAACAAAAAATGCTCACAAAAACAAATCGCTCGATGATGACCTCACTTTTCAGATGCTTATCTCCAACCTTCAAAGGCCGACGGTGACGCGCCTGCTTTTAGCCTCGGCGGCACGCTCGGTACGTCCCAGGGCTCGTGCGCGTCCCCAAAACGCGCGCCCCCACCCGCAAACCCCACCCGCCCCCCACCCACCCCCCACTCGCCCCCCACCCAGCAGTGTGAACGTGTACACCACCGTTAGTCCACGATTCGGCAGGTCGTGGAGTGGTTGGGGTAAAGTGTGGGTGCTCCCGCCTCTTCCAAGATGTTTGACCAGTGTGGACGACTTGGATCGAAAGACATTCTTTATAGGGCTCTCTCCCAGCAGCGGTGTGAGCAAGTAATCTCAGGAATGCACCTTTATCATCTTCACCTTCTATCATTATGATTATAATTCTGCAGGAGTCTCACAATGTGACCTTCGCCATCTGGCGTTGAACAGCCAGGGGCTCTGATCACGACACGAGCCGGATTGCTGGATTGCCGGATTGACGAAATGTCAGAATGCCAGACCGCCGAATGCCGCATTCCAGATGGCCAGAATTCCAGATTCCTCAATTGTTGGGTTGACGGAGAACCAGAAATCTGGTGCTCCAGAATGCCAGATTTCCAGATCGCGGGAATTCCGGAACAGCGGAAGAAGGTGCGTCGCCGCCGCATCGCCGCCGCGTCGCCGCCGGGCCGTACCCTTGGGTCTGGGCGGGCAGCAGTGCGTGAAGCGGAAGGTGACCCCGTCGGAGCGGAGCGTCTCCGAGCGGTAGTACGCCACGAGCTCGGCCAGCGTGGGGAAGGAGCGCCGCCCGCCCACCAGCACGAACTTGGAGCCCTCCTGCCTCACCAGGCAGTGCTTGAAGTCGTTGTCCTGGCGCCGGACAAGGGGCACAACACGGCAGCGGAGGGAAGGGTGGGGGGCGGGGTAAGAGGTCAAGCGATGAGAGCAGAAGGAGGAGGAGAGAGAGAGATTTTGGAGGGGGACGAGGAGGCCCAAGCCTCCCCTCCCCATTTCTGAAGGCAAATTCAACAGGTTTATTTTCAGTCACAATCCATTTTAAGGAGCGCGTAAGTAAGATGTGTGTCGTGCACTCCCCTCCGCCCGACACGGCCAATTCATAAAGTTCTCACGCGATGAACAAACGTGGCCACAGTTTGTCGCTGCTTCAGGAGCACCCCCGGCAGCGTTGTTGGAGAGCGATCCGCACAACGCGAAAGAGTGGGCTACGGACGTTTCGCTGGTAGTTGCAACCAGCGTCATCAGGCAGGCACGTGTAACACAGCCGGGCGTGCGCCCCAAAGGTTCCACAAACCCGCAGGCACAAAAGTTGCACGCCACGCGACAAGGTGAAGCGCGCGGAGCGGCGCCGTCTCTTCCGTGGTGTTACGCTGCGGCTCGGAACTAACGTGGGATCTCGACTGTTCACCCAGACAAGCCTCACCGCGTCTCGCGACTCCTTCTCAGGAGGATGCTGCCAAGTCTCCGCAGTGTGGATGAGGCGCCAGTGTGTGGTGTCTCACCCGCGTCTTGAGCAGTGGTGCTGTGGTTAGCGCGTTGATTATACGAACACGGCCAAACCGAGGTCGATTCTCGCTCGCGACCAATTACAATGGCGAATATTTGAACCAGTCCTGGGCCTCCCCTAGGTCGAATCGGCCTTAATCGAGCACCCGTTGCGCTCAGCAGTAAACATCACCGCTGGGGCGACAAAGGCGAGCGTGGCGATGGCCACCCACCCCCTTTCGCTTGTCGTGTCGACCTTCATGAGGTGCTACTTCGCCAGCGACACTTGCCCCCTTAACAGCCTGGCGAAGGCCACGCGGGGGATCTTTGTCTCAGTCTCACCCGCACGCGCACGCTGATGAAGAACTGGTGCGGCTCCTTGGGGCTGCAGCGCAGCACAAAGTGGCCATCCCCGTGCTCCAAGCGCCGGAGCTTCTGCACCGCAAAGTCGGAGCTGGCGGAGGGAACAGAGACACGTCAAGCGTCACACCACCGCCATCCCCACTATCACCCACCACCACCACCTCCGCCAAGACCATCATCACCACCACAACCCCCACTATCACTACCACAGCCACCACCATCATCACCACCACTCCTATCATCCCCATTATAATCACCAACCACCACCACCACCCCCCATCATCACCACCACCCCCATCATCACCACCACCATCCCCCTGATCACCACTGCCACAGCTACCACCATCATCATCATCACCACCACCCCCATCCTCCCCACCATTACCACCAACCACCACCACCATGGCCACCATCGCCACCACCAACACTCCCAATCCCAATCACCACCGTCACGGCCACCACCATCATCCCCACTATCCCCACAGCCACCACCAATACCAATATCCGCCATTCGCCTGTGCCAGGCCAGGTGCACTTTGAGGCCACGTGAAGTGTGGAAGGCTCCCTGACAGAAGGAGCTCGGAACAGACCCAGGTGCCATGGGTAGGCTGACTAACATGACTGGCAGATGCACCACCAGCTCTACATCCCCTGCTGTGACAACTCTCTGCAAATTAGCCGCCCGGCGCTCCGCTCGTTGTTGCAAGCGTCGCTCCTCTGCCCTCCATCGTTGCCGGAGGGCGACCTTCATCGTTGTCAGTAACGTCGCTGTTCGTGTTACTGTGGGGGTGGGCAGTGGTGCAGTGCTGCAAGCTTGGTGACCCGAGTTCAATTCCCGATCACGGATAACACCCGCAACCAGTCAAGGGGGGGGGGGGGGGGGGGGGGGGGCCTCCCCGAGGTCCACGAAGCCTCAAATGAGCAGTCCTGGTGCTGCGTGTTCAACTTCAGCGCTGGGGAGAGTAAACCCGCGAATGCGCGTCGCGGGCACGTCGTACAGGATTGGTCCGTGGCAGTAGTTGCGGCACAGCTCCACCAGCCGCGGGGGCGCCAGGTCCTTCCACATGTAGTGGTGAGCGTCGGCGGTGAGGCGGTAGTAGCCGTCCAGCAGGCAGATGGCCGACTGCGCTTCCTGCAGTGTCGCAAACTCCAGCTCCTGCGGGTAAAGGGGCGGACGAGCGGATCAGCGACGCGTCGCCGGGCCAGCAGCGGTGCACACAGCTGCTTCATCAGCAGCAGCAGCAGCAGCGGTGCACACAGCTGCTTCATCAGCAGCAGCAGCAGCAACAGCAGCAGCGGTGCACACAGCTGTTTCATCAGCAGCAGCAGCAACAGCAGCAGCGGTGCACACAGCTGTTTCATCAGCAGCAACAGCAGCAGCGGTGCACACAGCTGTTTCATCAGCAGCAGCAGCAACAGCAGCAGCGGTGCACACAGCTGTTTCATCAGCAGCAACAGCAGCGGTGCACACAGCTGCATCATCAGCAGCAACAGCAGCAGCGGTGCACACAGCTGTTTCATCAGCAGCAGCAGCAACAGCGGTGCACACAGCTGTTTCATCAGCAGCAGCAACAGCAGCGGTACACACAGCTGCATCATCAGCAGCAACAGCAGCAGCGGTGCACACAGCTGCTTCATCAGCTGCAACAGCAGCGGTGCACACAGCTGCTTCATCATCAGCAGCAGCAACAGCAGCGGTGCACACAGCTGTTTCATCAGCAGCAGCAGCAGCGGTGCACACAGCTGCTTCAGCAGCAGCAGCAGCAGCAACAGCAGCGGTGCACACAGCTGCTTCCGGAGCGATCCGGTGAGGTTTACCGCTGGCACTAGCCGGCACCAGCCTGCCAAACTGCACCGCACGAACGGCCGCCCCCATCCCCGCAAAACCCCGACACGCCGCCAAAGCCTTCTTCCTCCTGCCACCGCCGCCGCCGCCACTTCTCCTCCTCCTCCTCCTCCTCGTGTCACGCTCGTGTCGTGCCCCCCCCAGCCCGCCCCCAGCGAGCTCCTCGGGGAGTCTCGTAAACTCCGAACACGCGGAGACGAGCGTCCCTCCGGTGGCGTTGCGGAGCAAGGCAGGGGAGCTGCCGCGCCGGCGTAACGGTCGGGGACGTGCCGGACAGAGGTCGCCGGTTCCGAAAGATGTGCCGGCGAGACTGTTGATATGACGGGGGCGAATTTCTTAAAACCTCCCACCCCACCCCCCACTCCCCCCCCCCCCCCCCCCACTGCGCCTCTGTCCACCCAGCGGTGAGCGGTGCTATGTGAACGTGCGGGACGAGCCGAGTGCTGACACAAGCGAAGAGAGGCATCTTGGCGTGTGCCAACCCGCCAATAATAGACCGACCGTCACGCGTCCCACCGTCACCTGTCCCACCGTCCACGTAGGACGACCGTGGCGCGTCCCACCGTCCACGTGTGTAACGTGCCACGCACGTTAGGAAATAGCGAGTCCGAGCGCATAGTTCAGGCATGACTTGCAAAGTGTTGCTGTCGTAACGCGGGGCTGGGTGAACCGAGGTTGAACTCCACATGGCTTCACAGTATATATTACTATATAATAATTACTGTGAGCCCAGTGACCGGAGTTTGATTCCCGATAATGGCTAAAATTAGTGGCGAGTGATATCTTAACTGGTGCTGCGTCTTCCTCCTTCACCAAACCCCACTGAACCTGCGTGATGACGTCCGGCCAAACAACCCCCGTGACCTACACGCTGCGGGGGAGTCCTTCATCAAGCAGTGGATTGACCAGGACCGTGGCCTGCTATCAATTCGGTTAAATCGCAAATAATTTCCCATTTTGCGTTCATCCGTTTTTTGCTCCGCTTCTCTCGAGCGTTGCCGGCTGAGCGTTGGCGCTGTCGAGAAACGTCCGACCGACCGACTCTCAACGCGACCCCAAACCGGGATGGAACGAGGGCCAACGCGGCTTCACGCGACGACACCGCCATGCCGTGAACGAGCCGTCGGCACGCCGGGGGAGAGGGGGGGGGGTGGCTTTGCGATCCGAAGGGTCGCCGGTGAGATTCCACCTCCTTGTCGGCGGCCCGGAGTTCTAAACGACGGTGGCAAGTTTCTAGAATCATCGAATCCCAGCTGCGTCCGTCCCAATAGCCGAGGGGGGGTATATAAATAGGCGACGTTTCGGGCAATGGCCCTTCAAGAGGAGCAGTGGGCCAGAGAGAAGCGGCGTTGTTGACTGGAACGCATCGAGTCGTTTGTTACTTTGCACTTTTGCACCACTGCCAACACTGTATGACAAATGTGTTAAGTGTGCAAATGTCGAGGGGCGGGGGGAGGGGGGGGGGGCTCCATCCACTGCAGCTCCCTCTCCCGCTACTCGGCCGGCAGCGCCCGCCTTGGCCATACTTCCTCGTTCACGAGCGGCACCTGCCTGGCTTGCGCTGATTAGCATCCCGGAAACGCGCGCCGGGGGTACGGAGGGGGGAAAACGGCAAAAACCCCAAAGGTCGCCGTCTCCCTATCGGCGAGCGGCAGCGGCGGCAAGCGGTACCTGCCACACCACCGGCCGCCCCTCAGGTCTCGAACAAAACAAACCCGCAGCGCCGGCGAGCGCCAAGACCGGAACGCCGAGCACCTGCACCAAAGATCCCCCTCCCCCCCCGTATAATCATGTAAAGCATGTAAAGCATAAACTAAAATGATCTTTTTTTACCACGTGAGGCTCACTGAGCTACGTAGCTCTTTGTCAGACGCGACCTGGCCACAAATGATAGCTCAACAAAAGTGGCTTGTTGTGTGGAAATTTATAGCTACCAAACGCGTGACGTTGAGTCTAAACGCGGAGGGAAAAACCGGAGGACCTGGAGAAAAATCCACGTGACCACAGGGAGAGAGAGAGACAAGCAAACTCCAAATATACATGCGTCAGGGGTCAGGATCGAATCCATAACCTCCTGTAAACCAGGCGAGGTGGTTACAACAGCAGGCTGTTGGGGCAAGTGCTGTTAGCGAGCAGTGCCTACGAAGGCCGGCACGGCACATGGGCAAAACGAGCCGCGCTGGCGCCAGGCCCGGCGAGGGAGGAATGCCGGCGCTCCTATCTCTCTCCCCCCCGCCCAGAGTCACCGTTTCGCCGCCGGCTCACACAATGCTGCAGCGTCGGCAATAACGGGCACATGCGCGGGCGGGCGGGCGGGCCCCCGTCGACACGGGCACACGGGCTTGGTGTGTGAGGGGCGAGCGGGCACGAACCCGTGGGGGTGGTTTTGGCTTCTGGGTGCCGACATGCGATACACGTGCGTGACACACGTGCGTGGAGAGCGAAACTTGTACTGCGACGGGCGCGGATGAGGTTGCCCGAAGTTGGCACGGTGTGCCCACAACCGCTCTCTCTGGTGGCGTGAGGCCGGGCGGGGGGAGGGAGGGGGGGGGGGGGCGGAGGTGGTGTCGCTCGCCGCACAGCGCACACGACTCCGTAGCCGGCTGCTGCTGCTGCTGCTGCTGCAGCTGCGGCTGGTGATTAACGTGGTCACTGCTGAACGAGCGGCTGCGGGTCACGCTTTCCCACGACCCCGCACCGGCCACCCATGCGAAACCTCGGCACGCTACTCGCGCACCCCCGATGAGCGCGGTTGGCTACGTATGGTGCGAAGGAAGTTCAACGTACACACACTCAGGAAAAGGGGGGGCGACAGCTCCCGTTGCATTGCCACGTGACCAGCCCGTTGCTTGTACAATGCTCTCAAGCCCGGGAGCTGAACTTGCGGCCGTAGTGCCGTTTAGACCACAGACTCAAAAAGAGTTGAACACGCGGCCGTGCCATCCGGCTGGACGAGGCCGAGAGCAATGAACGTGCGACGCGTTGGTCAAATGACACGCACACGAGGCACATGGATGGGCTTCACGCCTTCCTGCTGCTGTCAGTAGCAGAGCAGCAGCAGCAGCAGCACACCCTTGCACGCCGCTGGCTTGCGCGTTTACACCACGCACACGGCGGAGATTTCTCCTCGTGCGCGCAGAGCTCGCTCGACGCGAATTACTGCTGCCCGAGAGACTTCGCTTCCGCCAACGGGGTGGGAGGGGCAAGGAAATGGGGGCTTGGCCGTGAATAGCCCCAACCGTGCCGGGTCGTATGGCGCCCGTCGCGTTAATAATAGACCGTCCCTAGCACTCCGAAGAAATAAACACGCGTGGCGAGCGTTTGCTTAGATCCGCCTTGGCGGGGCTTGTGCCAAGCGACTGCATAAGCGACACATTGTCCGGTGAAGGCATTTTTTTTTTTAAGGGGGGGCCGGGGTGGGGGAAATCTTTAACATTATTTTTTGTTATATATTTATTTTAAAAAAAAATAACTTTGGGGCAAGCTATCCCCCGCTTGCCCTCGAGCATCCGCTCCGTTGGTCGCCGCCTCGGGCTCGCCCGGACTGCTCGGGCTCGTCGAGATAGAAGTTCATCCCCCCGCTGGCGCTGCCGCGGCAAACCGAGTGCAATTCAAGTCGACGTCCCCGTGAGTGAAATGTTTTAACTCTGCATTTTGATTTTTGTGTGGGTGGACGGGGGGTGGGGGGGGGGTGGTGGAATTTAACATTTCCTCAATGCCTGCGCGCGACGCTGGCGACTCTGACGATTAGGGAGCAAGGCCCCGGGGACGATGCTTCTGCCCGGTGGCCCCTGCGGGAGCTCACCTCTGTCCGTGAGGCCCCCCCCACCCCTCTCGACCGCTGAGCCACCTGGACAGCTGTTTGTATGCGTGTGTACGTTGAACTTCTTTCGCGCCGTACGTAGCCAACCGTGCTCATCGGAGAAGCTGACCGCGCTTCCAGGGGGGCACGACGCGGTCAATGTTAAACGACCGTTAAACGCTAAACCAAACGAGTAACTACGCGGCCCGAGCGTACGACCGGAAGTAGCGATGCCCATCGTTGAGTCCGTACCCGTTGAGTCCAGCCCCCCCTCCAGCCGGTATCAAAACATTCCACCAATTTTTTGTTTTCAGCATTTTTTCCCCAATTTAATGCCGACTGCGCGATAATGAGACGGAAAAGCGCAAACCCACCTTTCGCATTGGACAACGGGCCCGCGGAAGCGGATACCACAGAACTGCGTACGTAGTCAACCACGCTATAATCGGAGGTGCAATTAGCACGGTTGCCTTTAAAGCGACCTTCTACTTTACTTCACGGGGCCTGCCCTGTGTGCCGGCCAGCAGCCTGACAGCCCTCCCCGCCCGCCACACCACACGTCGCTCGAAACGAAGCAGCGGCCCTCGACACCAGCGCAGAGACGGCACAGGCGATGAGCGGGAGCGCGGACAGCTGGGAGCGCAGACAGCCGGGAGCACGGACAGCCGGGAGCGCTGCCTTGCTGCTGATTTCTGGTGCACGCCCCCGGGTATCCCGCTGTGAGAGCGTGTGAAGCACAGCTCTTGAGGTCCCTCCACCGCATGTGAAGCTCTTTATCTCAAAGCCGCACGCAGCGTCCCGGCCGTGGGTAACCAGTCGTGGGGGGGGGGGCAGGGAAGATGGGGGAAGGGGTGGGGGCAGAGGCGCAGTGTCACCCAACCCCAAGCGAGGTCACGACGGCAGAACCCCACGGGGCCCCCCCTGGTGGGGGCCCTGCAGGCGGGCCGCTCGTTGGGACCCCCCCCACCCTGCTTCCTTCCAGCTGAAAAAGGTTCCCTCGCGAGACGCCGGAAGGTGTCGACGCCAAATCGAGATGAACAGAGATGTGGATGAGGCAGCGATGCAGACTGGAGACGGACGTGGATCCACATTCCACGAGAGGAGATGCAGACGAGAAGGGCTGATTTTGTTACGAATCAAAATGCTATTTCATCCATGATGCAGTGTCCCCCGTCCGCTTGAGCTGCTTGGGTGCCCGAAGCATTTTCTTGGTAGACTTAGGCCTAGCAGGCACCGGGGGCACGGGGCGCTCCGCGCTCGCTTCACGTGGCGCAACGTCCCAAACGCTCCTGCCGGGGGCGAAGGCTCCCAACTGCCCCCCCCCCCCCCCCCCGTGCGTCATCTCTGGGCCTTTCCAGAAAACGCGCTGATGTGGCCAAAATTTGCGTGCGTGTCGCGCGATCCCAGCGCCGTGTGTCACTTCCTCCCTGCCCCCCCTCCGCCCCCCACCCCCCCCCCCCCCCCGGGACCAACGGGCACTGCGCGGTGGGCGAGGTGCCGGGCAACGCCACCGCCGTCGCCGCACGGTGGTTACGGAGCGGGGTTTTACGTGCGGATGCGTAGGTCGCTTTGCCCTTTTCTATTTCCTCGACCGCCGAGAGGCAGGTGGGAATTTTGGGGAAGTGCGGCCTGGATTTGAAAGTAAAACCTTCAACTTCTCGTCATTGCAAAGAGAAAGAAAAAAAAAAACTTCCCTTCACCTCCCCCCCACCCCCCGAAGGCCTACGGCAAACTTTACCCCGTCATCAACGCTGCGAACTGCCCGTGGGTCGATTAACGCAGCGACGCTCGTTCAGCCGGACCCCGTCAAGATTCGTATTTGATGCGGGCGTCCTTCAAGCCAATCGCCGTCGCCGCCATCGGTCGCGTGCCCCCCCCCCCCCCTGGCCCGAGCGCAGAGCGGTCCCCGCGGGACGACGCCGCCAGGCGGCCCTCTAACCCCGAGCGCCCTGGCGCGCCGGGGAGGGGGTGGGGGGGCACGGTGCTCGACCGCGGCCTCCGTGGTGGCCGCGCGTTCCACGCTCCTCCGCGTCGACCGCGGCGCTGCCCCCGAGGCCGGTCGCAGCGGCGGAGGGTTTCGCTTGCACGGTGTTGGTTTGGCAAAAAGGCTCGGAACGGCGTCGACGCAATGCGGTTTACCGTGCTTAACCACGCTTAACCGCAACGCGGGCCCCCGCCAACACCTGTTACGCACGGCGGTCGCCCATCCGCGCCGCTGTCCAGGCTCGACCCTGCTTAGCTTCCCGGCTCCGACGAGACCGGGTGCAACTGCGGCCAACTTGGTCAACATCGACAAGTCTTTTGCGTTCTACATTCCTCTCGGCCGCCACCGCCGCCGGCCATCAGGTCCCCGCGTCGTTGTCCCCACATCGTCATCGTCCGCGCGACGCTCTGTGCATGCTTTGTGTTGATCCTCTTCCCCTCTGCATCTTCCCCTATTTGTCTCTCTTGCACTTCCCGTCTCGTTTTGCGACTCTGGCGTCGAAGAAGCGACAAGTGATCTGCAGCCTCTCGTCGCTCCACTGCTGGATGAGAAGGCATCAACCCTTCCAATCCCCCCCGACCCGCCGTGCGGCGGTAGTAGTTTTTTTTTTTACCGTACTTCACCACGTTTGTCAGTACGGCGTCGGCGGTGCCCAGGAACCGGTCCGGGTCGTCGGGTTCGTCGGATAATTATAAACGGCAGTTGAGCACCGCCTTAATGCCCGTTTGAACAGGACACCACGTAGCCTTTAAAAGGTTTGCCTGCGCGTCAACATGCATATGCTATGTCTCGCTGGACACACGGTACTCCCCTGCATACGAGATTTGAATCCATCACGAGGGATTTGCGAGTGGAAGTGGGTGGGGGGGGAGGAGCGTCTGTGCGGGGCTCTTTCCACTCGGCGGAGTAAACGCACGCGCGGCGAGCGTGACAGGCGACCGAAGCCAAAACAACGCAAACCCCGTGAACTCGGAAAATAGAGAGACCAAACAGGTTCTGGGGGCGCAGTGGCGGGGGAGGAGGAGGAGGAGGAACATCTGCCGTCGTGCCGAGATACGGAATGCCTCGCTCGGGTCGCGCCCTTTATTCAAGCGCGCGGACACGGCAACACGAGTCCACGTCGTTGCTTGAGCGGGGAGAGAGCAAGAGCGCGGGTGCCGGTGGACGGACCCCCGTCGTCGATCGAGACCGACCCGCGCGCTTGCGTCGCGTGCAGCGATCGGAGCGGATGTCGCGGGCGCCCGCGGGATTTTGCTCACGCGTCCCTGTCGTGCGTGGCTCGTTTTTTTTTTTTACGAGATCCTGGCAGCCACTAGAGGCGCTCGACGCGTGGCAGCGGAGTCCGGGATTCAAGCGCGGCGGCGAACGGCGCAATTAATTAATCGAATCTATGGGCAGATAGCCCCGTCCGTGGACGTCCACCACAATTTTCGTCATTCGCTTTCCTCCGACGTGTGCCATATGCGCCCCCCCAAGCAGTGCCACATCATCCTGGCACCGATCTTCTCCGTCGTCAGGCCGCGATGTTTTTCTTCAGCATCTTAATCCCGAGCGAAGCTTTTGTGAACCATACTCTTTGGTTCTATTCGGTGACGATGACTTTACCGGATAGAACCAAAGAGTAGAAATCCTTGCAGTCACGAAAGCTTTAAATCTAGAATTTTGTGAACCATCGCGACCGAGATTGCCGTGGCGTTCCTCGCGCAGCCACGCGACGCCGTGCCCCGCCGTCAGCCGCGCTGTGAGCGAGCCGCGGCAGGAGGTGCGTCGCGAGCGAGCAGCCCGGGCACTGACCATGGGCTTGCAGTCCTGGCGGTTGATGGTGACGATGCAGCCGTCCTTGGGGGTGCAGGCCGCGTGCATGCTGATGTCCGTGATGGCCGAGAAGTCGCAGAACGTCTGGAAGGGCATGGGGGTCTGCGGAGCGCGACAAAGCGGGTGGCAGAGGGAGGTAGGTGGGAGTGGTGGGGGGTGGGGGGGGATGTTAGTTTACGACTCGGCCTTGAACGTTTCACATTTTGGAAGACTTTCCCGAATATTTTTGGAAGACTTTTCCGAATATTTTCCGGATGTTTGGGATCCACGCGGCGTCGCGTGGATTTGCGCGCCGTCGGGGCTCGCAAGCCGCAGCGTCACGGTGCCACCGATTCCCGCGGGAAAGCAGCCGGGGGTGACGTTCTCATCGGTCCAAATTTCACGTCCACGTCTAGAATTCGCTCGTCGTGCGCGCAGCCCCACTGCCGGACAAGGGCCTCCCCCCACCCCCCCCATGCCGTGCAAGTTGTGGCGAGCCATTAGACCATACTTCACCACACTGGTCCGTGCTGTTGGTTTAGTGAGGCACTTCAAAACCACTCTGAGCTGCTAAACCAAGCGTTTTTATTTCACCACGCAAGGCCCACTGAGCGATGACACTATGTAACACGATTTTTGTTCCTGGCTAGTAAGTGTTATTTTCTAATTGCTTATGCCTCAAAATTATAGAAAATGGCTATTAGTATTCCCCACAAACTTTTGGTTTTGTGACCAGGACTTTGTACGTGAAGGAATGACACAAATGCACACCACGTTTTCTCACTGAAAATAGGTAAATTTCAAAATATCACTGTCCTGGTCACAAAAGCAAAGTTTGTGTAGAATAATAGCCATTTTCTGTACTTTTTGAGGCATAAGCAATTAGGAAATAACACTTACTACCCAGGAACACATTTTTTTTTTGCTACACAGTCTTATCGCTCGCCGCCGATGTTCGTCCGGAATCAAACTCGGGCCGACGGGCTTCATCGCGCGTCGCGCGCTCGCCACCGCGCCTCCGCTCCTCCGCGATATATTCACGCATCCTCCAGTTGTGCCACCGCCACACTCGCTGGCGGGCGCCGCCCAGCGCACACAGCCCACGCCCCACTGCCTCGGCAGACTTGAGGCCGGCTCCCCGTGCACCACGTGGAGTAAAATAACCGCCCGAAAGAATAATTACACGGACTTGCTGTGCAGGTTTCATAAGCTCGTTGGTCAAGTGCTTTTTGTCTCTTTATGTAGGCCGTAACATATTTTACTTAAACCGCCACCCGACTAAACAAGTTATTTTTACAGTTTCAATGCCGCCGTCGCAAAGGTCGTGCGTGTCTGTGTGTGGCGCTGGCCACCCACCCCTCCGTGTGCCGTGCCGGCCTTCATAGGTACTACTCGCTAACGGCGCTTGCTCCTACAATATGTAAAGGTTATACGGGGGACCCTTATGATGGCGAGCTGTAGTGTTGTGGTTAGCACGAACGTGGAGGTACAGGTTCAATTCCCGCTCGCGGCCAACATCGGTGATGAATATCTGAACCGATCCTAGGCCTACCCCTTCGTCAACTCAGCCTTAAATGAGTTCACGTACATACATGCATTGCTGTGTACGTGCTCGTGAGATTGTGCATTTGTCAGTGCCTGCTTGTGTGTGCGTGTTGCGGCATGTTTCTTGATAGGTGCTCGCTAACGGCGCCTGTATGGCTACGACGATGATGATGACGATGATGATGACGACGACGATGATAGCGGTAAGGGTGACGATCGCGATAACAAGTGTCGTGACGACGGCGACGACGACGACAAATGTGACGACGGCGATAACGATCATGACGACGATGTCAAAAGCGCCCAGCCCAGCCCAGCCCAGCCCGCACCTCTCCGTCGAAGCGCCACTGCACGCCGTGCTGCGCGGACACGGCGACGAGCAGCGACTTTTGGTCGGTGGGCTGCTTGGCGCCGAACACCTCCTGGCCGAACGTGGGGTCGAGGCTCTCCACGTTGGTCAGGTACTTGAGCGTGAGGTCGCGCAGGCCCGTGCGGCACTGCCCGAAGCGGCGCACAAACCGCCGGAAGCGGTTGCGGATGCGACGCCGCGTCAGCAGGTTGTAGCTCTGGATGCGGCTACGCACGTCCACCGGGAGGCACTTCTTGTAGCTGAGCAGGTGGTGGCGGCGGAGGAGGAGAGGACACACGCACGCACGCACGCACGCGTGGCTGTTAGTTTATCCGCCTTGAGTGATCCGTTGCCGCCGTCTGAGCGACGCGTTGAGCGACGCGTTGAGCGGCGTAATGCCGCGTGCCGCTTGCCGCTCGGCACGCTGATCCCGGCCGTCTCACCGATCTTGCGCACTCGGGACAATGTCTCGTGACGCGACGCTGACAGTGCGATCAGAGTCAAGGTGGGGACAGCAACAAACATAGAACGGGGGACAGCACGGACAGCAACAAGGACAGCACAGACAGCAAGGACAGCAGGAACAGCAGCAGGCACAGCACGGACACCAGGAAGAGTACGGACAGCACAGACAGCACGGACAGCAGCAGGGACAGCAGGGAGAGCAAGGACAGCAGGAACAGCAGCAGGGACAGCACGGATACCAGGAAGAGTATGGACAGCACAGACAGCACGGACAGCACGGACAGCAGCAGGGACAGCACGGACAGCAGGGAGAGCACGGACAGCAGGAACAGCAGCAGGGACAGCACGGACACCAGGAAGAGTACGGACAGCACAGACAGCACGGACAACAGCACGGGCAGCAGCAGGGACAGCACGGAGAGCGCAGGAGACACCGACGACGCACCTCATGCTGTTGAACACCTGCAGCAGGGTGATGCTCTGCAGCTGCGCACGCCGCATCATGTCCAGCACGGCCATGCCCAGGCACTCCTCCTCCACGCCCGCCACGTCGCTCAGCGACACGCGCCCGTTCACAAAGTCGTGTCGCACCTTCACCCCCAGGCACACGCAGGGAACAACAACAGCGGTGATGAGGAAGATCCCTCGTGAAGCCTCCGGCAGGCTGCAGATCCCTCGCGAAGCCTTCGGCAGGCTGAAGATCCTTCGTGAAGCCTCCGGCAGGCTGCAGATCCCTCGTGAAGCCTCCGGCAGGCTGAAGATCCCTAAGCCTCCGGCAGGCTGCAGATCCCTCGTGAAGCCTCCGGCAGGCTGAAGATCCCTCGTGAAGCCTCCGGCAGGCTGCTGATCCCTCGTGAAGCCTCCGGCAGGCTGAAGATCCCTCGTGAAGCCTCCGGCAGGCTGCTGATCCCTCGTGAAGCCTCCGGCAGGCTGCTGATCCCTCGTGAGGCCTCCGGCAGGCTGAAGATCCCTCGTGAAGCCTCCGGCAGGCTGCTGATCCCTCGTGAAGCCTCCGGCAGGCTGAAGATCCCTCGTGAAGCCTCCGGCAGGCTGAAGATCTCTCGTGAAGCCTCCGGCAGGCTGAAGATCCCTCGTGAAGCCTCCGGCAGGCTGCTGATCCCTCGTGAAGCCTCTGGCAGGCTGAAGATCCCTGGTGAAGCCTCCGGCAGGCTGAAGATCCCTCGTGAAGCCTCCGGCAGGCTGAAGATCCCTGGTGAAGCCTCCGGCAGGCTGAAGATCCTTCGTGAAGCCTCCGGCAGGCTGCTGATCCCTCGTGAAGCCTCCGGCAGGCTGCAGATCCCTCGTGAAGCCTCCGGCAGGCTGAAGATCTCTCGTGAAGCCTCCGGCAGGCTGCTGATCCCTCGTGAAGCCTCCGGCAGGCTGAAGATCCCTCGTGAAGCCTCCGGCAGGCTGAAGATCCCTGGTGAAGCCTCCGGCAGGCTGAAGATCCCTCGTGAAGCCTCCGGCAGGCTGCAGATCCCTCGTGAAGCCTCCGGCAGGCTGCAGATCCCTCGTGAAGCCTCCGGCAGGCTGAAGATCTCTCGTGAAGCCTCCGGCAGGCTGCAGATCCCTCGCGAAGCCTCCAGCAGGCTGTAGATCCCTCGTGAAGCCTCCGGCAGGCTGCAGATCTCTCGTGAAGCCTCCAGCAGGCTGAAGATCCCTCGTGAAGCCTCCGGCAGGCTGCAGATCCCTCGTGAAGCCTCCGGCAGGCTGAAGATCCCTCGTGAAGCCTCCGGCAGGCTGCTGATCCCTCGTGAAGCCTCTGGCAGGCTGAAGATCCCTCGTGAAGCCTCCGGCAGGCTGAAGATCCCTCGTGAAGCCTCCGGCAGGCTGCTGATCCCTCGTGAAGCCTCCGGCAGGCTGCAGATCCCTGGTGAAGCCTCCGGCAGGCTGAAGATCCCTCGTGAAGCCTCCGGCAGGCTGTAGATCCCTCGTGAAGCCTCCGGCAGGCTGCTGCTGCTTGCGGCGTCGTGGTTGCACTCGAGCCTCGCGGCAATTAGCGCCTGGGTTTGACTCCCTGGGTTTGACTCCCACCTCTCGGGCCTTTTTCTGCGTCGGGTTTGTTGCCGCCTTCTCCTCCGCCCCCTCCCCCCCCCCCCCTTCTGCATGCATTTCCACGGAGCCCTCCGTTTTTCTCCCAAAGTTAAACAGAAACCCACGGCAGTGGCCAAAACATCCCAATCGTGAAAATATTACCCGCGCATTAAGCTGGAATCACGACGCCAGTAGCAGTATCGGCCCATGCTGCCAAATCATGGCAGGACCCTCCATGATCAGCACGGTCGGCTACGTACGGTGCAGAAGAAACTCAACATACATACATACACACACAAGAGTCTTGAGACTCAATGAGGCTTTCTTGAGTAAACAAGCATAATTAGATTGTTGTGAATGGCAATGTCGAGGTCCTGCTGCTGCTGCTGGCCACGATGAGAACAAAGAGAGAGAGTTCCTGTCGTGTCGCTGTTGCTCCTCTGCCGTTGAAGGAGTGCAGACCGGAGTGGCTTTATTGTGCGGTCCGCACTGCTGTGGCTCGTGTCTCTCATTTCCCATTCGCGAAATGAGACGCGCGCACGTGCCTGTCGATGTGTTCTCATGCGCAAATCAACTACCAAAATAATTGTTAAAGAGGAGGCATTGGCCGAGATCGACCTTTGTCTTGAGGTCACGGGGGCGGGTTGGGGCGGGGAGGGGGTGGGCGGGCGGATGCGCGGAGCGTTACCTGGCAGTACAGGTAATTCATGACGTGGTCGTCGAAGATTCCGTTCTCCCCGTCCTTGGACAGGCTGAATCTGTGAGCGCACGGACCCTCGGCTCCGTGCCAGTGGGGGAAGAAAAACCTGTGGCACGCAAACACGGACACGGCACGCACGCACGCACGCACACACGGCACGCACGCACACACGGACACCGCACGCACACACGCACACACGCACACACGCACACACGGACACCGCACGCACGCACGGACACCACACGCACGCACGACGATCGCCATGTTTAGTCTCGGGGGAGAGCCGGGGCAATGGGGCTCAGGGGTGGGAGTTGGGAGGGATTTTGAGACGCAAAAGATTTTGGTCTCATCATGCGCGGCACGTTTCACCTTCACCCGCGCATGGTCCTGCGATACCCACAATCCCCCTTCTCGTTCCTGCCATCACCACCGACCGGCGAAGTATGGTCAAACAACTTGCACGACCGACAAAGCATGGGGGCACGTTTACATGCAGCAGTGGATCGACAGCGGGGTGTGAATAGGGCCGCCACCAGTCCGGGTTTCTCCAGGACAGTCCGGGAATCGACATCCGTGTTCAGGCGGCAGGAGTCGATTTGTACCGATATCCGGTATGGGTTACTGCGTTGAACTTCATTGCAGTTTCCTGCACAATTTTGGTCGGGCCTAGGCCAAGGGTCAGCAACCAAAACAACAAGAAGAGCCTTTTTTTTTTATTTCGGTAAAAAAGAACGGGAATAATATCACGGAGCGGTTCCTTAAAGAGCCCCCCCCCCCGCTCGCTGCCGAACGTCATCGACGCATTCGACACGCGCTCTGAACATCGTTCTCACGGCCGCCGTTGGGAAACCGCCGCGTCGCGGAGTGCGGGGGGCGGGGGGCAGAGAGGCGATCGGCGGCCATGGAGGAGTCTTTTTATTATTTTTTCTACTTTAGGAGACTTCCTCGAACAAGTGGGGGGCAAATAGAGAGACGGCGGTGGTGGTGGTGGTGGTGGTGGCGGAACCTTCACTTTCCCCGAAACGCATCCTCCTCATTCGGTGGCCCGGCCCCCCGCCCGCCCGCCCGCCCGCCCGCCCCGTGCGCCCCCGAGAACAATTGTTTTCGGGGCGCTTTACGAATTAAAATTATTGTGCGGGGCGGAGGAGAGAAAGAGAGAGTGAGGAAGGGGCTCGAAAGCCTCGTGGCGACGACAATGGAAGGAAACGGGACGTTTACTGTAAACCGTGCTGAAAGTGACACGCACCCCCCCCCCCCCCCCCCCCAAAACGGTTTACTGCAGTTGCCGAGTCCGAATTAAATGGGTTCCTTTAAAAAAAGAAGTCGTAGAGGAAGTGCTGCGTGCGTGCGTGCGCCTGCGCGTGTGCGTGGGCGCGTGATTTTTTTCTCTTCTGTGCGAATGCATGCGAGCGTACGTGTGCGTGCTTGTGCGCTGGCCGAACCGTGTGTGTGTGTGTGTGTGCGCGCGTCGCCTGTTTGTGTGCTCACGTGTGTGTGTGTGTGTGCGTGCGGTAGTGGGGGGGGGCGATGGTGCAGTGGTTAGGACACCGCACCACGAACCCGGCAATTCTAAAGTAAATTCTCGCTCAAAAAAACAATAACGGCTGGCAAACATTTTGAACCGGTTCTGGGCGTTTCCTTGGTCAACTCAACCTTAAGAGTTGAAGCCGTGTGAAAACATCAGCACTGGGGAGACAAAGGTGGCCGTGCGTGATATTGGCCACACCCCACCCCATCGTGTGCCGTGCCAGCCTCCACTGGTGATCGCTAACAGCACTTGCCCGAACAGTGAGCCGAAGGCTACACACGGGGGATCTTTGTCTCTATTGTGTGCGTGCGTATGTGGGTTTGCATGTGTGCATATGTGCGCGTCAGTGCGTGTACACGCACGTGTGCGTGTGTGTGTGTACACGCGCGTGTGTGTGTGTGCGTGCGTGTGTAATACGTGTGGCGTACACAGTTTGGGTGAACTCGTTCATCTGAAAGAGCGAGGGGAGAGCGTCCGAGAATGAATGAGCGTGTGTGCCATTGTGCCAGGACTAAGCGCCAGCTCTCCATTGTAATGTTTAATAAAAAAAACCACCCAAAGCTCGCGGGATTAGAGTTAAATTCTGCACAAAAGCATTTGGGGGAATCGCACAATCGGCCACAGTAGTGGCGGACACTGAAGGGAGTGGGGGCGGGACAGCTCCCCGCGACCCCCCACACCCAGCGCAGTGCCCCCTCCGCTGCCATTCACTCCGAGTCGCTCACCGCTCGGCGCTCGCAAAAATCAACGTTCACCTCACTGACTGGCCGCGGTTTCTGTCCGTGCCCCTCCGTACCCACGCCTGCCCCCCTCCCCCCCTTTCCCGTGCCCCCCACCGTTCCCGTGTCCCCCATGTGCCAGCCATCCTCGCCCGTAGTGCAGTGGCACCGCACTTGCATCGAGCTGTCTGAAGTTTGAGTGTTATTCTACAGACAAAATCCGCAAATAAAAATCCCAGTCTGGGTCAACAAAAGCATCATCGTCATTGTTATCTTCTTTGGTTCTTTCGGTAAAGTCACGTAGAATGAGAATAAAATAATAAATTGATAACATAAAATAACACAATAATATTCTCACGACGTTTCGGCCACAACACAAGCGGCCTTCATCAGGTGAAGGGGCGAGACTGTCTGTCCACTCCAGCGCTGTCCTACCAGACAGTCTCGCCCCTTCACCTGATGAAGGCCGCTTGTGTTGTGGCCGAAACGTCGTGAGAATATTATTGTGTTATTTTATGTTATCAATTTATTATTTTATTCTCATTCTACGTGACTTTACCGAAAGAACCAAAGAAGATGAATCATTGCAGTCACGAAAGCTTTAAATCGAAAAGTCATTGTTATCATTATCATTATCGTCACCTGACTGAGTTCAGCACTGCCATTGAGATGGAAGACCAGCAATGGATTCTCGAATCCACCTGTGCGGAGCTTTGTGTGTTACCCTTACACACAAATGCATGCTGTTATGAGCAAAAGGACCGGTTTCAACATTCTGGGTCTCGTAAGCAAAGGGCCAGGCCTGTTAAGCCACTGCCATTATGTAGCCCAGATGTTAAAGGGCATTCTAGGCTAGGGGGGGGGTGGGGGGGCACCACGGGCTCCGTTATCGCCCGGTCCCAACGCCGTCAGAGCCGCCCCCGACACAGCCTTATCGGCAGGAAGCACACGGACTCTGCTTGGACGCAGTTCAGGAAACAGCTTCGCGTTGCACAAGGAGCGAGCGAGCGCGCCACCGCTCGCTCCGCGCGCCCGCAACGATCCGGCGTCACGACCCCCGGGCCCTCGGAGCGGCACGCGGCATGCGCGGGGGGGGACGATCGCTTCGCCGCCTGCTGCTTTTGCCGGCGTGTAGGCCCGTCGCCCGTCGCGCCTACACCGTGGCGTCCGGCACCGTTGCCGGTGCAGTGCCCAAACGAAGCGAGTGTGTCCAGGCTCACGCCCCGTTCTGGGGCACCGGCTGAGAACTCGTGCGTGACCTTTGGCAAGGGCGACCCGGGGGGGCCACCGAAGTGACAAAAAGCTAAACGAATTAACAAAATAAAAAAGTAACAGTTTTTTTTATCGGTGTGTGCGTGCACGCGCGCGTTCATGCAGGTGACCTACCACGCCACAGATCACGAACGGAACGCGATGGAGCGGGTGGACGTGCCCGGGGACAGCCGTGCAAAGGAGACGTTCCGTCTCGAGGCATCTTCCAGGCGAAACGATAGATTTAATAAACGATAGTTTTAATAAACGATAGATTTAATAAACAACAACAACAACAAAGAAGAGCTCTGAAGTGCGCAAGGAAGCACGGGGAGAGATGCACACTAGGGATTGCGTTACATCCATAACTTTTGCCGTTCAGAGACTTAAGCGGCTCATGTGCCGGGGGGCGTGCCGCGAGAAGGGATGGAGGCCGCTGGGCGAGGCCGGCGTCGGAGTAGCAGCCAGACCGGGGGAATGTTCTGGGGAGTGCGGCAACCGCCGCAACCACCAACACCACCACAGCAGCAGCAGCAGCAGAGACGGAGCAATGTGCAGCTGGGGCCCGGCTGCGTAGCGATGGCAGCAGCAGCGTGAGAGGTGGCGGCGGCTTGGGGAAGCTTTCATCCAGCAGTGGATTTGGGAGGGAGGGAGGGAGGGATGGAGGGATGGAGGGAGGGAGGGAGGCTGTGACTTGTCAACAAGCCGTTTTGCCAGGAAATGCAGAATTTATCTCGGTGTGATCTCAAGCTGATCAATAGGGTGGGGGCCCTAGCAGCGACACGAAAAACAAGCACAAAAATAATAAGCACACAAATAACCGACTACGGGGGGGGGGGGCACAAAAACTGCTGCTACCGATCATCAGCACACGTACGCCTAGCCAAGTGGGTAAAGATCTCCCCTGGGCACCTCTAACATTGGACTGCGAACGTCTGCATTGTTGGACCTAACTCGGGAAGCGTGTAATGTTGGGCCAACAACATTGGTTTCGACATTGGTGATGGAAATTCCACCTTCGTTCCAATGGCGGGCCCCCAAGTCTGTCCCAGAGTAAAAACAAACACAATAACTGTTTGTCTTGCACCAACTAGTGTGGCTTATGATACAGGTAATAATGATCATTCCCTATATTTACCTAGGAGAGCGCCTCACCGAGTCTCAGGACCCCTTTAATGCAGGAGGGTCCTGCTGCAGTTGGACGTTTTGGCCCTTTCCATTCACGACAATTTGACTTCTGGTGGGAGGAAACCGGAGAAAGTGGAGAAAATCCACGACCAAGCAAACTTCGTGGCAAAACATTCAAACAGCCACACAGATGGATCCAAAAATCCAATTGTGGACTGCCATTTCTTTGACTGCCAGACAAACGATGATGACGACGACGGTGGTGGTGCTGATGAAGAGACGGCATCGACCCAAGGCTGGGATTTTAACTCGCGCCCTTGTAACCACGAGCCCCCCGCCCCACCCGCCACGCTTTGTGGCGGAGGAGCAACTCGGATTGGAGAACGTACGCTGTGGCTAAGTGCAGGGGCGGAGCCAGGATTTCAGGCCGGGGTGACATTCAACAAATGTTAATTTCAAGAATGATTCCAGAGTCAGGCT